CGCCAGCAGTCGCCCCTCCTCCTCTCTTTATCACTGACGAGTGTGTCTCTGTGGGGGGGAGGGTGAGGGTGTGGCGGTGACGGGTTCCGTGGCACCTGCTATTGCTGCCTGCTGCTGGGTCGTCCCCGGAGGTGCTGAGCCGTGCTGTCCTGCTGCTTGTTGCAGCCACAGCGCCTGCTCACACGCCCACCTGCCGTCGCCTGCACCCGCCGCCGCTGCATCTGCCGTAGCTGAGGTTACTGCATCTCCATCTGCCATCACTGCAACTACTGCCTGCTGCTGGCTTGCCCCCGGAGGTGCTGAGCCGTACTGTCCTGCTGCTCGTTGCAGCCACAGCGCATGCTCTCTCGCCCACCTACGGTCGCCTGCACCCGCCACTGCTGCATTTGTCGTGGCTAATGTTCGCTACTGTTTCCACCGCTTCTTCCGCTGCCCTTTCTCTGTGGTCTTCCTGCTTCTGCTTGCTGTTAGCTGCAGGCAGTTACGCGGGAGTGTTAAACAATATATTCATATATGTTATTAGTAATTGCTTGTAGCAAATAGTTGGTGTAGCGTATTGTATCTATAAGCTACAGTAGGGCCACTCCTTAGTGAGTACAACACTTTAGGGTTAGGTTTCCCCTACTTGTACTCACCACTTGCCTAGTTCAATCATTCATTCCTAGTTCTATTCTTGACATGTTATCAGAGTAGGAACCGTTCCTACATGGGCCCACCGTTCCACCTAGTGGTAGCGCCACGCCCTACACAGTAGCCAGCGCGCTGGCGCCCCTAGCTCTCACTGTCGCGACCCTTGCAGCCCGTGCGCTGCCCCTGCGACCGCGCTGCCCCTGCAGCCGTGCTCGCCCCTACGACCGTGCTGCCCCTGCAGCCATGCTCGCCCCTGCTACCGTGCTGCCCCTGCAGCCGTGCCTGCCCCTGTGGCCCGCGCGCTGCCCCTGCAGCCCGTACGTCGCTCCTGCAGCCCGTACGTCGCCCCTGCAGCCCGTTCACGCCGCCCCTGCAGCCCGTTCACGCTGCCCCTGCAGCCCGTTCACGCTGCCCCTGCAGCCCGTTCACGCTGCCCCTGCAGCCCGCGCGCAGACCTATCGAGCCGCGCGTCGCCTCTGCAGCCCGTCCGCGCGGCCCCTGCAGCCTGCGCGTCGCCCCTGGAGCCCGCGCGCCGCCTCTGCGGCCCGTTCGCGCCGCCCCTACAGCTCGCGCGCGGACCTGCCAAGCCGCGCGGCCCCTGCAGCCCGTACGAGCTGCCCTTGCAGCCAGCGCGGCGCCCCTGCAGCCCGCGCGTCACCCTTGCAGCCCGCACACCGCCCCTGGAGCCCGTGCGTCATGCCCCTTCAGCCCGCGCCCTAACGCAGCCCACAAGTCGCGCGCTGCTGCCTCGCGCGTCGCGCTCTGCTGCAGCCCGTCGCGTCGCGCCCCAAGGCAGCCCGTCGCATCGCGCTCTGCTGCCCCTTGCGTCACGCACTGCTGCAGCCTGCGCCAGCGCCCTGCTATACCCTAAATATAATAAAATTGTTAAAAAAAAAAAAAAAAAAAAAAAAAGGGCCCTAGGTGCTTCTGCCCTAGGAGCTACTGCCTATCGCCGCCCTGCTCTGGCCGCGCGCCGCCCTGCTGCTGTTACTACCGCTGCTGCTGCTACTCGTGCTACTGGGAGTGGTGGAGGTGCTGCTGGGAGTGCAGGAGGTGCTGCTGGCGCTATAGGAGCTGGAGGTGCTGGACCTACTCCTGACCGTCACTGTCTGTCATGGCCACTTCCGCGGCAGTTGCTGCGGCCAGGGGTGGACAGCAGCGGGCACTGCTTCTCCCGGACGACCCCACCCTCAGCAGCTTCGTGAGTGGGTTATTCAGCGAGGTCGTCCTAGTGGTGGATGTTATCGTTCTGTTAGGACTGCTGCTCTAGGTGCTAGTGAGTCTGCTGCCGCTCCAGGTGCTAGTGAGTCAGCTGCAGCTCTAGGTGCCCGTGAGTCTGCCGACGCTCTAGGTGCTAGTGCGTCTCCTACCACAGGTCCTGCCTCAGCTGAGGTCTTGCACACTTTCACGCTTGACTCAGGCGCGTCACGTTGCTTCTTTCGTGATTGCACCACAGTCACACCACTCACAGCACCTGTCCCAGTCTCACTGGCTGACCCCTCTGGGGGCCCAGTAGTTGCGAGAGCCTCCACGGTCCTCCCTTGTCTAGCAGTCCCCTCCGGCTCTCTGTCAGGTCTCCACCTCCCCACGTTCTCGACGAACTTGGTGAGCAACGCTGCCATTCAGGATGTCTGGGTTGATACCTTTATTCCTGGAGGGCAGCGTGTGGCGATCTGTACGTGCTCCCGGACTGGCCGTCACCTGGCTACGTTCACTCGACAGCCTGGGTCTAGTCTGTACACACTGACCACTGCGTCTGCACAGGTGGCTGAGTCAAGTCAGGTGGCTGCGTCGAGTCGGGCGTCTTCGTCGGGGCAGTTCGCTGTGTCTTGCTCGTGCAGAGTACTCACGCACGAGGCTCAGCGCTGGCACCACCGTCTTGGTCACCCCTCCCTGCAGCGTCTACGCAGTATGCACCCCTGTCTCCTTGTCTCTGGCCTCCCCAGGACCCTGCCCCCCCTCCCGTGCTCACTTGCGCCGCCGTGCCTTCCTTGCGTCGAGGGGCGGCAGCGCGCCGCTCCTCACTCCTCCGAGTTTCCTCCGACCACTGCTCCTCTGCAGACTCTCCACCTGGACGTGTGGGGCCCGGCCCCAGTCGGTGGGACGGACCTGGAGCGCTACTTCCTGCTGGTTGTTGACGACTATACACGCTACACCACAGTCTTCCCCTTGCGTCGCAAGGCGGACATCAGCAGTGTTTTGATCCCCTGGATCCGTGCTGCTCGTCTCCAGCTGCATGAGCGCTTTCAGCAGGACTTCCCAGTCCTGCGTCTGCACTCTGACAGGGGTGGTGAGTTCTCCTCTGGCGTCCTTGAGACGTTCTACCAGGATGAGGGCATCGCCCAGTCGTTCACGCTTCCGGCCTCTCCGCAGAAAAATGGGATCGCTGAGCGTCGCATTGGCCTGATCATGGAGGTTGCTCGTACCTCCATGATCCATGCGGCTGCTCCCCATTTCCTGTGGCCGTTTGCGGTCCGATACGCCGCGCATCAGCTCAACCTCTGGCCCCGTGTCTCTGCTCCAGAGACCTCCCCAACACTCCGTTGGACGGGACAGCCTGGTGATGCGTCGTCGTTTCGGGTCTGGGGCGCGCTCTCCCTTGTTCGCGATACCAAAGCGAGCAAGCTCTCTCCTCGCACTCTCCGCTGTGTCTTCCTGGGCTTCCCCACCGACGCTCCACCCTGGCAGTTCTACCACCCTGCCTCGCGTCGTGTTCTGTCCTCTCAGGACGTCACCTTCGACGAGTCGGTCTGTTACTACCGACTTCACCCACACGCGGCCCACCCGGTCCCCCTCGCGCCTCTCTTCCTAGTACCAGTCCCCCCCCCGGTAGACCCCCTTCCCCCACAGGGTCCTGCTCCCTCAGGTGTGTCCCAGGTAGACCCACCCCCCTTGGATGAGCCAGTTGAGATCTTTTCTGACTCCTCTGACTCAGCTGAGGGGGGTGATGCCGTCGGCGACGACACGGCGACCACTCGCCACACTCCTCGCTTGGAGACCCACCCGGGTTTCCCGCCTCGGCCGTCTTCGCCACCTCCGCAGCCTGCTGCTGTGGACTCTTGAGCTGAGGCTGCTGGAGCTGGGCCTGGGAGTGGTACGTCTGGGGGTGACTGCTCTCCTCGTTCGGCTACCCCCCCCCCGGTTTCCAGCCTCTGCAGCCTTCTGCAGTGGACACTGGAGCTGAGACTGAGCGTACTGAGCCTGCGGGTGCTGGGACTGAGTGTACTGAGCCTGCGGGTGCTGGGACTGAGAGTACTGAGCCTGCGGGTGCTGGGACTGAGGGCACTGAGCCTGCGGGTGCTGGGACTGAGGGTACTGAGCCTGAGGGTACTGAGCTTGGGGGTACTGAGACTTTGGGTGCTGACTCTGGGGGTGCTGAGACTTCGGGTGCTGACTCTGGGGGTGCTGCGAGTCCTTCTGGAGGTCCTGGAGCTGGAGGTACTGGAGCTACTAGGCCTGGAGGTACTACTGGAGGTACTGGAGCTGCTGCTGGTGCTGGAGGTGCTGGAGCTAGGGGTACTAGAGGTGCTTCTGGTGCTGGAGGTGCTAGAGCTACCACTACTGGAGGTACTGGAGCTGGACAGCCACCGCAGCCTGCTCTACTTGAGACGCTCTCGCCGCAGGCGATTCGTGCGTGGTTTGTTCGGCGAGGCAGTCCTGGTGGTGGAGGGTACGGTCCGGATGGTGCTGGAGCTACTAGTCCAGGAGGTGCTGCTGGTGCTGGAGGTGCTTGAGGTACTACTGGAGGTACTAGAGGTACTGCTGGCGCTGGAGGTGCTGCTGGTGCTGGGGGTACTAGAGCTGCTGCTGGTGCTGGAGGTGCTGGAGGTGCTGACCCTGGAGGTGCTGGTGCTGGAGGTACTGGAGGTGCTCGAGCTACTGGTCCCGGAGGTGCTCGTACTGGAGGTGCTGGAGCTGCCGGAGCAGGTGGTGGTGCTGGTGCTGGAGGTGCTGGAGGTGCTACTGGAGCTGCTGGAATGGGAGGTACTGGAGGTACTACTGGTGCTGGAGGCGCTGGAGCTGGAGGTGGAGGCACTGGAGGTGCTGGAGGTACTACTGGTGCTCGAGGTGCTGGCGGTGTCGTTGCTCGTGGTGCTGGAGGTGCTGGTGCTACTGGTGCTGGAGGTGTTGCTGGGGGTACTGGAGGAGCTGCTCGTGCTGGAGGTACGGGAGCTAATGGTGCTCTTCGCCACCTTCTCAGGACGTCACCTTCGACGAGTCGGTCTGTTACTACCGACTTCACCCACACGCGTCCCACCCGGTCCCCCTCGCGCCTCTCTTCCTGGTACCAGTCCCCCCCCCGGTAGACCCCCTTCCCCCACAGGGTCCTGCTCCCTCAGGTGTGTCCCAGGTAGACCCACCCCCCTTGGATGAGCCAGTTGAGATCTCTTCTGACTCCTCTGACTCAGCTGAGGGGGGTGATGCCGTCGCCGACGACACGGCGACCACTCGCCACACTCCTCGCTTGGAGACCCCCCCGGGTTTCCCGCCTCGGCCGTCTTCGCCACCTCCGCAGCCTGCTGCTGTGGACTCTTGAGCTGAGGCTGCTGGAGCTGGGCCTGGGAGTGGTACGTTTGGGGGTGACTGATCTCCTCGTTTGGCTACCCCCCCGGATTTCCCGCCTCTGCAGCCTTCTGCAGTGGACACTGGAGCTGAGACTGAGGGTCATGAGCCTGCGGGTGCTGGGACTGAGCGTACTGAGCCTGCGGGTGCTGGGACTGAGCGTACTGAGCCTGCGGGTGCTGGGACAGAGAGAACTGAGCCTGCGAGTGCTGGGACTGAGGGCACTGAGCCTGCGTGTGCTGGGACTGAGGGTACTCAGCCTGAGGGTACTGAGCCTGGGGGTACTGAGACTTTGGGTGCTGACTCTGGGGGTGCTGAGACTTCGGGTGCTGACTCTGGGGGTGCTGCGAGTCCTTCTGGAGGTACTGGAGCTACTAGGCCTGGAGGTACTACTGGAGGTACTGGAGCTGCTACTGGTGCTGGAGGTGCTAGAGCTACCACTACTGGAGGTACTGGAGCTGGACAGCCACCGCAGCCTGCTCTACTTGAGACGCTCTCGCCGCAGGCGATTCGTGCGTGGTTTGTTCGGCGAGGCAGTCCTGGTGGTGGAGGGTACGGTCCGGATGGTGCTGGAGCTACTAGTCCAGGAGGTGCTGCTGGTGCTGGAGGTGCTTGAGGTACTACTGGAGGTACTAGAGGTACTGCTGGCGCTGGAGGTGCTGCTGGTGCTGGGGGTACTGGAGCTGCTGCTGGTGCTGGAGGTGCTGGAGGTGCTGGAGGTGCTGACCCTGGAGGTGCTGGTGCTGGAGGTACTGGAGGTGCTCGAGCTACTGGTCCCGGAGGTGCTCGTACTGGAGGTGCTGGAGCTGGAGGTGGAGGCACTGGAGGTGCTGGAGGTACAAGTGGTGCTCGAGGTGCTGGCGCTGTCGGAGCTCGTGGTGCTGGAGTTGCTGGTGCTACTGGTGCTGGAGGTGTTGCTGGGGGTACTGGAGGAGCTGCTTGTGCTGGAGGTACGGGAGCTACTGGTGCTCTTCGCCACCTTCTCAGTCTTCCGCCAGGTGCTACTGGCTTCCCTATGGCAGGTACTACTCCTCCGTTGCTGTGTCCACTGGCGGACCAGTCACAGCCACCGCTGCTACCACAATCCCCACTGCCTGCTCCTGCTCCTTACACTGCGGTGTCAGAGTCCCTGACTGAGCGTCGAGAGCCTGAGACTCGTGCTTCCACCCCTGAGCGTCGAGAGCCTGAGTCTAGTTTTGACCTTGAGCCTGAGCCTAGAGCTGCTCTCCGTGCTCGTGTTCCTCGTGTTCGTCGTCAGCGTGCTCCGGCTGTCCCCGGCACTCACGATATGACACTCCGTCCTTCCTCTGTTCCTCGGTGTGTTGTACTACCGTTACCTCCTGCGTCCTCTCTGCCTGACGTTGCTGACCCTCCGTCTGACCTTGCTCGTGCGTCCAGTCCGACTGTTACTCGCCTTCTTGCTACGGTTGTGACGGACCCTACGTTCTCGTCTCCTGCTGCGTCTGCCCTAGTAGCTGAGCTCGTTGACTTTGCTGCTGTGTACCGCCTAGACTACCTTGCGAGTCTTGTCTCTGACCCTGTCCCTGCTTGTCCTCCGTCCGTTGGGGGTGAGACTGCTCTTGGCTGTACTGCCCTTGGCTGTGACGTTCTTGAGGACAGACAGGAGGAGCTGGAGTGCCTTGCTGCCGCTTCACCCCATCACGCGACCATGCTGCTTGCCCCTGAGGGAGACCCGGATGCACTTGGCATCCCCACCCGCGCTCCTACAGGGAGGCGATTTCGGGTGAGTACTCCTCTCAATGGCAGACAGCCATGGACGCAGAGATGGCTTCCTGGAAGTCCACAGGCACCTACGTTGACGAGGTTCCCCCACCTGGGGCGAACATCGTCAGTGGCATGTGGATTTTCAGGGTGAAGCGGCCGCCGGGTTCTCCGCCTGCCTACAAGGCACGTTACGTTGCTCGAGGCTTCAGTCAGCGTGAGGGGGTCGACTTCTTTCAGACCTTCTCCCCCACCCCGAAGATGACCACTCTTCGGGTGTTGCTACACGTTGCAGCTCAGCGTGACTACGAGCTGCACTCCCTTGACTTCTTGATAGCTTTCTTGCAGGGTAGCCTTCACGAGGCTATCTGGTTGCGTCGTCCACAGGGCTTCACTGGTTCGTTTCCTGAGGGTACCCAGTGGAGCCTACGGCGACCAGTGTACGGCCTGCGTCAGGCGCCCCGTGAGTGGCACGACACACGGAGGACGACACTTACGGCTCTTGGGTTTGCTCCTTCGACTGCTGACCCGTCGCTGTTTCTACGCACCGACACTACTCTGCCGCCGTTCTACATCCTCGTGTACGTCGACGACTTGGTTTTTGCTACTGCTGACACTGAGGCACTGGCCCTAGTGAAGGCGGAGCTGCAGGAGAGACACACCTGCACTGACCTGGGTGAGCTGCGGAGCTATCTTGGCTTGCAGATCACCCGGGACAGAGCACGGCGCACCATCACCCTCACTCAGTCACACATGGTGCACCAGATCCTTCAGCGCTTTCGCTTCACTTGGTCCTCGCCACAGCCCACTCCTCTGTCTACCGGCCACTCGCTCTCAGCTCCACCTTCGGACGAGTCCGTAGAGCCGAGTGGTCCGTACCCAGAGCTTGTGGGTTGCCTCATGTACCTGATGACGTGCACACGACCTGACCTCGCGTACCCTCTCAGCCTCCTGGCTCGCTACGTGGCACCTGGTCGACACCGAAAGGTGCACTTTGATGCTGCGAAGAGGGTACTGCGTTACTTGTGCAGCACATCGGGCATGGGGCTCGTGCTTGGAGGACGGGGTTCGGTGGTCCTCACAGGACACTCTGACGCTTCTTGGGCCGATGACCAGGCGACTCAGCGTTCGTCACAGGGTTACACCTTCAGTCTTGGCTCTGGTTCTGTCTCGTGGAGGTCCACTCGTTCTTCTTCTGTGCTTGGTTCCAACTGTGAGGCCGAGATCTACGATGGGGCCATGGCTGCACAGGAGCTACGCTGGCTGACCTACCTGCTGACCGACTTGGGGGAGCGGCCTCGTTCTCCTCCAGTTCTGTACGTCGACAACAAGGCAATGCTTGCCTTGTGTCGCGAGCAGAGACTGGAGCACAGAACGAAGCACATTGCTCTTCGCTACTTCCTTGAAAGTGAGCTGCAGCAGCGTGGTCAGCTGCGCCTTGCTTACGTGGCCTCTCGGGTCAACACTGCTGATGTCTTCACCAAGGCCCTTGGGTCTGGTGATCATCACCGTTTCTGCACTGCTCTTGGGCTTGTGCCCACTCTGCCTCACCTGCTGGTTGCTTGACTTGCTCTTGTTGTACACTGCTATATATCTTTATATCTGCATGTTTTCTCTTGCTAGGTTGTGATCAGTGTACTGCCTTGCTATTATATACCTCTGCATGTGAACTGGCCTTGTGGCCACTTACTTGTGCTCAGAATGCGTGGTGACTTTGTGATCCACCCTGAGCTGTGTTCTCTTCTGCAGACTGGTCTTGTGACCGCTTGTTGTGTTTGCTGTCCCCTACTTTGCCTATGGGGGTGTGTCAAATTACAATTGTATCTCTAGGCTACAGTAGGGTCACTCCTTAGTGAGTACAACACTTTAGGGTTAGGTTTCCCGTACTTGTACTCACCTCTTGCCTAGTTCAATCATTCATTCCTAGTTCTATTCTTGACACGTATTACATTCTGTCTAGGTGGTGTACCTCCTGCATTGTTCTTGCATTGTATATCTCGCTTCTCTCCTAATACCACCATCTATTTAGCGAACCTATCTTTCCTCGCCATGCTTCACACTAGGCTCCTAAGTTCAGCCCTAAGCGTACTCACTTGACAATATGGAAGTATGTATAAGACCCCAAAAATATGTAACCTTGCTAGAAAAACAAGTATAATACGTTGGATATCAGTTGTACGAATATACTTATGCAATTGTACTTTATAGGCTAGGTTGGGTTGTATTATATAGGGTATGGCCTGTTAGAAAAAACCCCTTCGTATATCCTAGCCAGCCATCAAATCCAGTTTCTAGCATGGTATCACGAATAGGTTAGGTCCCACGCTTCCATCCCTCCTACCTCCCTAGATACCCCTAGTGCCCTTTCGCCCCCTCCTCTAGCTACCCCCTCACGGCCTATCGTACGCCTCGGGACTAGCCCGAACCGCACTGCCATCATTGCTTAGGGGGTGAACATTAGAGCCAAAACCCCTCTCGTCGGCCTCGGACCAGCGCTACCAGATGCGGATCAGCATTTTGCTCGATTTGAACTCGCCCCTGAACCTGCCTGTAAAGTACACAAAAATCAGCGCAGTTGTGCGCAAAGCGGGTATACGGTGTCAGAAACATATCAGTGTAAACTGAATGAGGGAGATGGGCACAAGTAGCCAATATGTAACAAACTACTATAACAACTACTGTTTAACATACCCCGTAGCCTAGGTAAGGGGCATACAATGCATAGCAGGCAAGAAGCAAGTCAGGGCGAGGTCATAAGACCAGTCGGAAATAAACAACAAACATATGATGCAATTCAGGGTTGCACAATCACTGTAGCCACTCAGACAAATGGCCACAAGGCCAGTCCAAGAGGTCATATAAATATAGACAGCATGACATACAGTGCAATATGGTATCAAGATCGTAACAAGTGAGGACCAGAAGGAACAAGGCCAAGCTGAGGGTAGAGGCGATGATGCTCACGAGGTGAAGATGTTGGTTGTCTTGGCCTCTGAGGCCAGAAAAACCAAGCGTGCTTAGTCGTGTCCCTGCAACCCACGCAGAAGAAAGTACCGCACCTGAGTATGCTCCACCATGTTCTCCATTCTAGGCCCCTGACACAAGTGGATGATGGCCTTGTTGTTAGCGAACAAGATCGGAGAAAAGCTAGGCGGCTCACCTAGGCCGGTGGGCAAGAATGTCAGCTAACGAAGCTCATGAGTAGCTATGTCACTAGAGTAGATCTCTGCCTTAGCACTGGACGAAACAATAGATGACAAGTGAGTCGCCCCCGCAATACAACTCCTGAGCCGAGGCTAAAGCCCACAGAAGACCTGCGAGTCTCGCTGTCATCTGCGCACGACGCGCCAGTATGCCCACCAAGCACAAGCCCCATCCATGGTGTGTTCGTGAGGTAGCGTGCTATCCTCTTAGTAGCCGTCCAGTGCTGGAGACGTTGTCTCCCAATAGCAACAAGGCGATCTAGGATGCTGAAAGGATAGGCTAGGTCCCGTACAAGGGGCTCCCCACAAGCTATGCGTGCGGACCAATAGGCTCAGCCGGCTTGTCGGGAACAGGAGTGGCGAGCTTATGGTGAACAGCAAGACGAGTGGGTCATGTGGAGGGGAACTCAAGGCAAAATTGTTGAAGGACCTGCTGCACCATGAATGAGTGAGTCAGAGTGATGGTGCGCACTACTCTGTTTGCGGTGATCTGCAAGCCAAGATAGCTGCGCAGCTTACCAAGGTTAGTGCAAGTGTGTCTCTTCAACAGGTCGGCCTTCACTGAAGCCATAACAATTCCATCTGCAACAGCAAAGACCAAGTCATCGACATAAACAATGATAAGAAATGGCGTCAGCTTCGTGCAAAGCAAGAGAGAAGGGTCAGCACAGGATGGGAAGAAGCTGAGGTCAGCGAGAGTAGTATGCAGTGTGTTGTGCCAATCTCGGAAAGCCTGGCGAGACCGTAGACAAGATATCGAAGGCTCGACTGGGTACCAGGAGGGAAATTACCACTAAAGCGTGGAGGACGGTAAAGCCAGATCTGCTCGTGCAGGTCTCCCTGAAGAAGGGCAGTGGGGAAGTCTAGTGAGTGCAGTTTGTAACCACGCTGTGCAGCAACGGGCAATAGCACTCGAAGAGCAGTCATCTTCAGGGTGGGGGAGAAGGTATGGAAGAAGTTTACTTTCTCACGCTGACCAAAGCCTCTCGCCACGTAGTGCGCCTTGAAGACAGGTGGCGATCCAGGCGGCCGCTTCACCTTGAAGATCCACATGCTACGTTCGCCCCGAGAGGGGGAACTTCGTCGACGTAAGTGCCTGTGGACCTCCAAGAGCCGAGAGATTGTCCGTGCGAGGATCACGGACATGCTGCTGCTTGTGTGCCACTGCCACACCCCCAGGACCAACACCTCCTCTTGTGTCAGCCCTCCCAGACTTACCAACGCCCTCACCACCTCCTGTCAAAGTTATATTGCATATGTTAGTTTAGCCTGTAGTGAGTTGTGCCTTAGGGGTACAACATTTTCTCTCGACACTTGTCTTGTACCCCTGCCTTGACCTAATCTACTCATTCCTTTCACTTACCTTTCAACATAGTTTCAGAGTAGGTCAATCCTTAGGATAGATTTTTTTTTATATATATATATATATATATATATATTTTTTAAGGGCCCACCGTTCGTTTTGCCCGTTTATTTATGCCATGCCCTAGCGATCGCGACTCGGCTGCCCGCTAGAACCACCCTGCCCCCTACACGCAATCACCCTGCCCGCGTGCCCTGCCTGAGCGCCGCCCTGCCCGCGCGCGCTCTGCCTGCAGCTGCACCGCTCTGCCTGCCCGCGCGCTTTGCACGCGCACCCTGCTGCCCACGCGCGCGCTGTTTGCTCGCGCTTTGCCGCCCCCGCCAGTGCGCTCTGCCCCGCAAACGCGCTTCCCGCCAGCAGCCTGCGCCCTGCCCGCGCGCACCCCACGTGCACCCTGCCTGCTCCCTGCCCGTCCGCACTGCTGCGCGCTGCTGCTGCTGTCACTTCTGCAGCTGCTACTGCTGCATGCAATGCTGCTGCTACTAAGTGCTGCTGCTGCTGCTAAGCGCTGCTGCTGCTGCTGCTGCTAAGCGCTGCTTCTGCTGCTAAGCGCGCTGCTGCCACTGCGGCTACGGCACGCACTGCTGCGTTGTTTTCTGCCCGAGCCGCGCCGCCCTGCCGAGCCGCGCCGCCCTGCCCGAGCCGTGCTGCCCTGCCCGAGCCGCGCTGCCCTGCCCTTGCTTAGCCGCACTGCCCTGCTGCTGCTGCTAAGCGCTGCTGCTGCTGCTACTGCTGCTACTACTGCTATGGCTACTCCTACTTTGCTCACCTTTGACGCCGAGGGGCACCCGATCGATTTTGAGAACTGGCTCGAGGACTTAGAGTGGTTCCTTAAGAGCGTCACTAGGGAGGATATCTCACTGTTTGAGCATACCTCCGGGTCCATCGCTACCCCTACTGAGTCCACAGACCAGAAACGGCATGATCCTGGCGGTGGCTCTGGAGATGAAGCGTAACGTGCAGTAGCCACGTGCCAAAGTCTATTGCGCGCTCTTCAGTGTCAAAACGCAAGACTCCGTCGGACGCCATGACAAAGGCTAGCTTGGCCAAGGCAACAGCTGAGCTGAGCTATGGGCTAGGAACAACGCTAGGAGCGGCAGGAAGAACGCCGATAGGACCTGCGCTAAGAACTTTAGGAGGAGCGACCGGGAAAAGGAGGCGTCGACGAGGTGCCGGTGGTGTGCTACTGGCATGCACTCTACTGGCACTCGTGCCGCTGGCGCACGCAGCGTGCGAATGGTGCGCATGCGGTGCGGCGCGCGAGCTGGGGTGCGCGAGCTGGGGTGCACTGGCGCCGGCTGCGCTTGCGCTGGCGCTGGTGTGCGCGCGCGCGTTGGCGTTGGCTGTGCATGGCGTGTGCAATAGCACTAGCGCGCGGGCTGCACGCTAGCACACGCTAGCGGGGCTGCACTAGCGGGCGACGCTAAGGCGTTAGAAGGCAGCAGGTCGCTGGCGGTAGGGCTGGCTGGCGGTGCTACGGCTGGCTGGCGGTGTTAGGGCTGGCGGCTGGTCTATGAGGCAGTCTAGGGTCGGGGTAGGCGGCAGGCTAGGCTAGGTGTCGGTGAGTGGAAGCGCGGACCTAACCGCTTTGATACGATGTCAAAAACAGAAATGTGTGAACTGAAGAAATGAGATAGATACAAACTGGCAACCCTAACCTAAGCGACCAAAATGTAACAAACTACTGTAACAAATACATTTTGACAGTTAGAACCCAGAACCATTTCACCAACTACACCCACCCGCTTTCAGCAATTGCACGACAATGATTCTGGTTGTTCGCAACAGCAGGTGCATGTGTGACATGGTGTACAAAAATTCCGTCGAATATTTGCTCGACCAGGTGCGATTTCCTTGGTGCAATTTTCTTGAAATGGTCTCGGGAACCACGCTGGTGCACACTCGGGTCCACTTGTGCAAACGCGCTCAGTAAATTGGACTTCTCCTGTTTCCGCAGGTCCATTTGCTTGTAATGTTCCACGCCCGAATTTGAATATAGCAAACTCCTTACAAGAGCAAACTTGCCAAGTTCTGGTAGGGTCGTCTTTTGGTGGGGATGTTGCTGTTCTCCAGTTTCCCATGCCCATGTTGCTGCAGTGCAGAACAAGGTCACTTCGGGGGGACCACACCACATTCCATCACCATCAAGAACGTCGTCTTTCGATCTCTGCGCACTGACGAGTCAGATTCTTCCACGGACAATACTAGCTTGTCCCGATGTCATTATCTTAGCCGTCGGTTCTTTGATCTTGCGCATCCATTCCCTGAACCCGTTATTTCCGATTACATGGTTGTGTCAATGTGGGGCTTGCGCATGGCTCAGGCCCAAACCTCCCCCATGCCGAACCAGCAACGCGGCTCCGGCCAACCGCAGGGTAGACGGCGGAGGCACGCTTCTAAACGCGGGCCCTGTAGTCGCTCCGGTCATACACCAAAGCTTTCCCGCCCTTCACTCATGCTGTGGCGGAAAACGTGAATCCACAGAGCACACACAGGCGCAAGCGGGATGTGACCGTTGCTGGGGGGCGGCGGAGTCGCTAATTCGGCGCAATCAGGTCGGTTGAGAGGGGTGGTTCTGCTGAGTTCCGTCATTCGGTTTAGTGTGCTTCGCGTGGCGTTCACAGTGTAACGGAGAAAGAGAGCCGTTCTTTTCTTTCTGAGGTTAATTCCCTTGACTATCTCTAGCATACAAGGACATCCTTCAGACTTACCTGCGATAATCCGGAAAGCAGGATCACCAGTGTGACGAATCCGCACTTCATCAACAACAGAGGTTTCAGCAGGAATTGGAAAGTTAGATCGCTCTCCGCCGTTAGATCGCTCTCCGCCGTTAGATCGCTCTCCGCCGGGCTCCATCTGGGCGACACCTTCGCATTCATCACGATCCGGTGGAAGGCAGCAGCGGACGGTCGAGATGGTGACCGTCTGTGAATAGTGAGCGAATTGTCACAGTCCTAAGCGACACATCCTGTCGTGTTGCGTTATAAGATGTCCCAAAACAGCTCTGGCGACATATCCCTGTCGTGTGGAGCTAAAAGACGCTTCAAACTAGCGCTGGCGACATATCCTGTCCCGATGAGCCTTATGCTGCGTTGGTCATCTCCTGTGGGAACTAGGAGACTTATCTTGTGTCATATGTTCATGCGGTGGTTTAAATCGTACTCCGATTGGCCTGGGTTCCCTGCTAAATGAACATTTCAGTCAGTTTCACCCGTCATGCATGCTTCCCTTGGCTCCTGAGCCTGTCGCAGCTGCGTCTGTTTGTCAACTCACCACCTTTCTCTCCTTGTGTATGCCCGATGTTCGTAAGTTGAAGCCTGTAATTTCTCAGTTGAACCACAGTCCTCTGTGAACTCACCACACTCTTTTCCCGTTTGTGTCCTTTCTCATCTCTCTCCTCCCATACCCCCTCTGCCGTCCCTCATTTCATGTACACGCGTTTTTTTACTCCTCCTATCCTCCGTGGACGCGAATCATATCTCCATATCACGTTCAGCCGCATCCCCATGCCTCTGTCTGTGCAAGAGGTGAGCACCATTCATTTCCCTTTGTCCTCTTTCCCACTCTCTTCCACTCCTGCTCCCTCTCTCACTCATACTCACACGCACACACATGCCCGCTCCCTCTCTCACTCACACGCACACACACAAACACGCTCATATTCAGCCCTTTCTACTGCAAGTCCTCCATTTAAACACAGAGATGTTTAAAACCTCCTCCTCTCCTCATCTTTAACCCCCCTATCAATCGCGTGAAGGCACACTGAAGCACTCCCAGCAGCCCCACAATTTTCTCCTCCCTATTATCGCCATTCGTTCCCATCACCTTGCAGTTGTTTCATCTCTTATAGGCCCACCTCCTTCCTCCACTTATGCTTGTCTCACCCCTCCCCTTATGCTTCTCGTCTTCCCCTCCCCCCTCGCCTTACGCCCTAACACCCCTCCACCCCACCCCTCCTCTCCCCCGCTCCCCCCTCCCCCCCCCCCCCGTTCCCCCTCTCTTCCCCTTTTCCCGAACATTCCAGTACCGTATAGGTCAGCTGTATATGGTGGTGCGTGTGAGTGAGAGGGAGAGTGACAATAGCGATGGTGACGGAGTGGAGGTGCTGTGTAACGAGCCCTTCAGCAGGCGGAGAGGGGGAGGAGGAGAAGGAGGGGATGGATCAGCATGCACTGCTGCTAGCGGCAGCAGCAAGAGCAGCAGCAGCAGCAGGGATGGCGGGAAGAGTGATGGGTCCAGGAACTTGGGACAGGGCGAGGAGGCAGGGTCTGAATTGGTGCAAGATGGATTGCAAACTGGCTGTGAGGGAGAAAGTGAGGGGGGCGAAGGGAAGGAGGGAAACGAAGGGGCTGGAATGGGTGAAGGGAAGGAGAGGGAGGAAGGGGGTGTTGAGACATTAGACTCTGCGGGTGATACAGAGGAGGGGTACTACACCCACAAGATTTATCACCTGAACAAGTGGGTGCCAGTATGAGGAAAGGACGGTTTGACTTGGCTGTTTTCGTAGGAAATCGCTAGTTGTGCCGCAGTGCTGGTTGCTTGCTTGTGAGACCTTTTCCGCTTGTGAGACCTCTTCGCCCCTTGCAGCACACACGTGAACATGCTTAGTCACTCATGCCCTCACTCGCTCACACCCCCACACATACACTCACTCAACTCACTCTCTTGCGCCCTCACTCACAGCACACCTTTGCCCCTCTCTATGCTCTCAATCCCTCCCCCCCACCACCTCGCCTCCCCGATTTTCAGGAAGCTGCCGGCGTGGATAGCAGCCCTGGTCCCCCGGCGGGCCCTGCGAGTGGAGGAGAAGGCCTGGAATGCGTACCCCCACTGCGTCACTGGTGGGTGAGATGGGTCTATTACCAGAGGGGAATACTCTTGGAGGGGAATACTCTTGGAGGGGAATACTCTTGGAGGGGAATACTCTTGGAGGGGAATACTCTTGGAGGGGAATACTCTTGGAGGGGAATACTCTTGGAGGGGAATACTCTTGGAGGGGAATACTCTTGGAGGGGAATACTCTTGGAGGGGAATACTCTTGGAGGGGAATACTCTTGGAGGGGAATACTCTTGGAGGGGAATACTCTTGGAGGGGAATACTCTTGGAGGGGAATACTCTTGGAGGGGAATACTCTTGGAGGGGAATACTCTTGGAGGGGAATACTCTTGGAGGGGAATACTCTTGGAGGGGAATACTCTTGGAGGGGAATACTCTTGGAGGGGAATACTCTTGGAGGGGAATACTCTTGGAGGGGAATACTCTTGGAGGGGAATACTCTTGGAGGGGAATACTCTTGGAGGGGAATACTCTTGGAGGGGAATACTCTTGGAGGGGAATACTCTTGGAGGGGAATACTCTTGGAGGGGAATACTCTTGGAGGGGAATACGCTTGGAGGGGAATGCTCTTGGAGGGGAATACTCTTGGAGGGGAATACTCTTGGAGGGGAATACTCTTGGAGGGGAATACTCTTGGAGGGGAATACTCTTGGAGGGGAATACTCTTGGAGGGGAATACTCTTGGAGGGGAATACTCTTGGAGGGGAATACTCTTGGAGGGGAATCATGAGAGGGCGTGGAATGCATACCCGCACTGTGTCACTGGTGTGGGGGAAAGTACTTCAGAGGGGATTGCTTTTGAAACGTCTCAAGTGTTTTGAGACGCTGCATGAGAGTGCCTGGAATGTGTACCTGCACTGCATCACTGATGAAAGGGGAGGGACCACCTTTGAGAGGGAGAGGGAGAGGGAAAATTGGGTTGAGCAAGACGGGGATTTGCTGTGTGTTTGTTCTGTCTTGCTCATTTGGTTGGGCGCAGTACTTTTCCTTGTATTTCATGAGCATTTCTCAGTTGCCTATAGTGAGTCTGTTTGTCATATGGCAATAATGTATTGACAGGGACGTACGCACATGAGGCACATCATTTGCTTCCTTTTTACCGTGCTTTTTTTCCCAGTTCCCCCCTTCTTTCCCTCCCTCCCTCCCTCCCTCCCTCCCTCCCTCCCTCTCTCTCCCAACCTCCCTCTTCACTTGTCTCTGTGTTTCTCCCCAACTTGCAACGGATGCGATGCAAACCCTGCGCGGTACAATCATGCGCGTCTCGCCTCGATCGTTTGTCCCGATTGAAACGACCAGAAATCACAGTAAGGCTCGCAGTCTGTCTGTCCTTGTGTCGTCCTCCCTCCTCTTGTCTCCTCGTCCCTCCTCCTGGTTCTAGACTGACAAGAATCTGGTGGCTGTGCTGTTACAAACTGACTCGCTGCATGTTATAGGCCATCTCCCATTTCCCATTTCCCCTCTCCTGTCTCTCGCCCATCATCCGCTGCCATGGTATCAGAGCCCATTCTTCGGCAAGTTCATGCTGCGAGTGGAGTCACTCTACACCAACGATCACCACCCGCGCCACAATGTAACCACTTACCTTACCTTACCTCACCGCACCGCACCTCGCCCCACCTCACCTCACCTCACCTCTCTCTCATTCATCCCCAGATCTGCTCCTATATGTGGTCTTATTGACCTAGCGAATCATCCTTCCAGCTTTCACCCTCCCTATCCATCCTTCCTCTCAGTCCTCCCTCTCCATACACCCTCCCCTTGTGCAACTCTCCCCATTCTTCCAATTCTACTGCTGCATCCCTCCAGGCCCTCTCCCTCCCGCCTGATATGCTGGCACGTCGCACAGTGGAAACACTAGACATTGCAGAGGGAGGCAGGGAGGAGGGGAAGACGGGGAGGGAGGGGGGAGGAGGAGGAGGAAGAGATGGGCCGAGAGCTGATGGCCTGTGTGTGGATGGTGCTATTCCCGGTGGCTGTAGCAGCAGCGGGAGCAGCGGCAGCAGTGGTACTGGCAGTGGCGGCTCCGGTGGTGGCGGCAGTGGTGTGTCGAACCATCCATCCACGTTTGTTTCAGCCAAGACTGGCAGAGGGCCTTTCAAGTCGGGGTGGCAGGTGGGTGGGACATGGTAGGGCAAGTGGTTGGTTGGTGGGAGAGTGTGTGTGGGCGGTGTTCGGGGCAAGGGGGGGAGGGGGTTAGGTATTTGGTAAGGGCAGTCAGCTGAGAAGCAGGCTTGCCCATTCCCTTCCCCCCTCCCTTCCTTTTTTTTTTCCTGCCCCTCCCTCTGCCCCCTCGTTACACTCCCCCTGCCCTCTCAATGCCCTCCCCCTGCCCCCGCCCTCCGTCTAGACATATTGTGTGCCTCTGATCACAACCTTGGAGAGTGGTCACAGCTCACTGCACATCGCATTCTCAAATATTCCAAACTTTTATTCTCGAAACCCGATTTTCACAAACCGATTCTCGAAAAAACGATTCTCAAGAACGAATATCCAAAAACCACTTCTCAAACAATCCCCCCCAACCTCTCCTCGCGGCGCACTGCTCGCCCCACTGATGCCATCAAGATGCTTCCATGCGAGCTCAAAAGAAGCCTTGCTTCATCTCCCCTCCCGCTGCTCCCCCCCTGCCCTTCTCCTCCCTCCCCCCTGCGCTCCCTTCCCCCTCTCCAGGCGCACACCTCGCCCCTCATGACAGCATACAAGGTGGTCACAGTGGACGTGCCTTCCTCGCTTTGAGCCAACTCAACCCCCTGCCCCCCGGCGCTCCCTCCCCCACCTCCTTGCAGGCGCACACCTCGCCCCTGATGACAGCATACAAGGTGGTCACAGTGGACGTTCCATACTGGGGCTTTGGCTCTCGCCTTGAGAAGTACCTAGCCAAGGTCCGTTGAGCCGTTTGAGCCGTGAGCATAGGGTTTCGCTGTTGCGGGTGGTTTCTGAGAATTCTCAAAAGCCACCTGCAACAACAAAGGGTCTCGCTCTCGCACACAGGGTCAGGTGGGGAAGGGGTTATCTGCAAGGATGCAAGGCTGCCACAGGCACTGACCGGAGCCTTGAGAAGCACTGACTGGTGCCAGGTGCCAGGTGCCAGGTGCCAGGTGCCAGGTGCCAAGACTAGCTAGGAACAGGGGCTTGTTTGCTTCCAGGATGCAAGCCTTCGAGCACGGAGCAGTGTGTGGATGAATTGAGTTTAGTTGGGTGGTATTTCTCAAGTGTGCAGGGGTAGAAGCACTTGGTTGGTTCACAAGCTTTGCCAGGGTCACAATTGACAGTGGACAGTTTTTCCGTTCTACTTCCCCCCCTAGCCCACCCAGCCCACGCCTTCCCACTTCCCCCCGAAATCTTCTTTTTTCCGTTGTCCCCAATTGCTCCCTGCCCCCTAGTCTCTAACCTGAAACACCAGATGTGCACGCACGCGCGTCAGTGTACGTGTGTGCATGTGTGGATGTGTGTGTGTGCGTGCACGTCTATGCGCGTGTCTGCGCTCAGTGAATGATTGCACACCTGCATACATACGCATACATACCTGCATTTCGCCATCACAGGTGCTGCAGAGGAGGCTGAGTCTGGAGACGAACCAGGCAGTGGTGTGCTGGATGGACGAGTGGATAGGGCTGTCAGAGCAGCAGGTGCGGGCCATGGAGGAGCACACATTCTCGCGCATCAACCAGGTGAGAGGCCTGTAAACAGAAGGGTTGATTCAAAGCAGGTGTGGGCCATGGAGGAGCACACGTTCTCTCGCATCAACAAGGTGAGAGGCCTGTGAGAGGCTTGAGTGTACCTAGAAGGGATGAATTGGGAGTTCGATTATAAGCAGGTGCGGGCCATGGAGGAGCACACATTCTCACGCATCGACCAGGTGCGAGACCTGTGAACCCGTAGCTGGTACGGTTATTCGTAGTGTGTATTTGCGTTGCGAGGTGCTGGTGGTGATACAGCGTTGGTGCAGCTGCTCTTGGAGAAGGTCGATGGTAGGGTGGATGAAGGTTTTTTTTTTTTTTTTTTTTTTTTTTTTTTTTTTTTTTTTCAAAGCAGATGAGGGCCATGGAGGACCGGACATTCTGTTGCATCAACGAGGTGCTAGGCCCATGAATCGCGGAAATCAGCATAGCGAAACCCAATTATGGCATACGCCACCACCTAGCACTTGTGGTCAGCGCACGGTCTGAATCTGAGGACTTATCAGAGTCATAATCACGACCCGAATGATGTATTATGCCAACAGTTTCCTGGAATCTTACACTCGTTTCTCATGCCTGCATGCCATATGGCACCTGTGCTTGTTAGAATCTAGAGACAGGAATGAATGCACTATGGAAGAGTTGGGTACAAGTATGAAACCCTAAACATGGTTGTACCCCATATTGGCTACCCCACCACAGACTACACATATATAACATGCATATACTTTGACACACCCCCATAGGCAAAGTGGGGGAGAACAAGGGGTCACAAGACCAGTCAAGAGAAGCAAAGCAAGCTCAGGGTGGATCACAACGTCACCACACACACTGAGCACAAGCAAAGGGCCACAAGGCCAGTTCACATGCAGAGGTATATATGCAACAACGGCAGCACAGTGATCTCTACCAAGCAAAGCAAGCATGCAGGTATGTATATAGATCACAGTACAGGCAAAGTCTACAGCAGGTGAGGAAACGTGGGCACAAGGCCTAACAAAGTACAAAAAAGCTGATGATCATCAGACGGAATTGCCTTGGTAAATATATCAGCAGTGTTGGCCCGAGTGGCCACGTGAGCAAGACGAAGCTGACCACGCTGCTGCAACTCTCGAGCAAGGAAGTAACGCAGAGCGATGTGCTTCGTTCGGTGCTCCAGTCTGTGCTCCTGACACAAGGCAATGGCGGCCTTGTTGTCGACGTACAGAACTGGAGGAGAACGAGGCCGCTCTCCCAAGTCGGTCAGCAGGTAGGTGAGCCAGCGTAGCTCCTGTGCAGCCATGTCTGTGGCGTAGATCTCAGCCTCACAACTGGAGCCGAGAACTGAAGACGAGTGTGTAGAACTCCAGGAAACTGAACCAGAGCCAAGGCTGAAAGTGTAACCCTGTGACGACCGCTGCGTAGCCTAGTCGTCAACCCAAGAAGCGTCCGAGTGCCCAGTGAGGACAACGTCGCCCCGTCCTCCAAGCACGAGCCCCATGCCCGATGTACTGCACAAGTAGCGTAGTACCCTCTTACCAGCATCCATGTGCACCTTTCGGTGCCGACCAGGAGCCACGTAGCGAGCCAGAAGGCCAAGAGGGTACGCAAGGTCAGGACGAGTGCATGTCATCAGGTACATGAGGCAGCCTACTAGTTCTGGATAAGGACCACTCGGCTCTACGGACTCGTCCGAAGGTGGAGCTGAGAGCGAGTGACCTGTAGCCAGAGGAGTGGCCTGTGCCGAGGACCAGGTGAAGCCGAAACGCTGAAGGACCTGCTGCACCATGTGTGACTGAGTCAGTGTGATGGTGCGGCGTGCTCTGTCCCGGGTGATCTGCAAGCCAAGGTAGCTGCGCAGCTCACCCAGGTCTGTGCACGTGTGTCTCTTCTGCAGCTCCGACTTCACCTGGGCGAGAGCCTCAGTGTAAGCAGTGGCAAAGACCAAGTCGTCGACGTACACGAGGATGTAGAACGGCGGCTGCGAAGTGTCGGTGCGCAGAAACAGCGACGGGTCAGCAGTCGACGGAGCAAACTCAAGAGCAGCAAGTGTCGTCCTCAGTGTGTCGTGCCACTCACGTGGCGCCTGGCGAAGACCGTAGACCGGCCGCCGGAGGCTCCACTGGGTACCAGGAGAGAACGACCCAGTGAAGCCAGGAGGGCGGCGCAGCCAGATCTCATCGTGCAGGCTGCCCTGTAAGAAAGCTGTGCTGAAGTCAAGAGAGTGAAGCTCGTAGTCACGCTGAGCGGCAACGTGCAGCAGCACCCGAAGAGTGGTCATCTTCGGGGTGGGGGAGAAGGTCTGGAAGAAGTCTACTCTCTCTCTCGCTGACTGAAACCTCGTGCAACGTAACGCGCCTTGAAGACAGGCGGAGAACCCGGCGGCCGCTTCACCCTGAAAATCCACATGCCACTGACGATGTCGACGTAAGTGCCTGTGGACTTCCAGGATGTCATCTCTGCGTCCATGGCTGTCTGCCACTGAGAGGAGTACTCACCCGCGATCGCCTCAGTGTAAGAACGCGTTGTCGGGATGTCTGGAGCATCCGAGTCTCCCTCAGGGGCAAGCAGCATGGACACGAGATGAGGCGCAGCGGCTGCAAGACACTCAAGGTCCTCGTGCCTGTCCTCAAGGACGTCCGTGCCAAGAGCACACTCACCCCCAACGGACGGAGGACAGACAGACTCAGACTCAGCAACAAGACTAGCGGCGTAGTTTAGACGACAGGCAGCAGCAAAGTCAACAAGCTCAGCGACTAAGGCAGACGCAGCAGCAGACTCAAACGACGGGTCAATGACAACTGTGGCTAGTAGACGCGTGACAGTAGGGTGAGCAGCACGAGCGCGGTCAGACTCAGGCTCTGGAACGTCAGGCAGAGAAGACGCAGGAGGGGACGGCAGGGGAACACGCTGCGGAGCAGAGGACGAACGCAGGGCCATGAGATGTGTGCCGGGGACAGCCGGCGGACGCTCACGAGGAACACGACGACCAGTACGACCAGTGCGGACAGTGCGAACAGGCGAGACATGACGAGACGAAGGCTCACGACGCTCAGCAAGACCGCCTGTCAGCTCAGTGTAAGGAGGAGCAGGCAGCGGTGAGCCAGGCTGTAACGGAAGACCAGTAGAAGACGGGAGGCTAAGAACCTGGTGAAGCACGGAGCCAGGCGGTGGCAGAGACGAAGGTGACGGCGGAGCGAAGAACAGTCGCTGCGATGCAGTGACACCAGCACCAATAGCTCCAGCACCTCCTGCAGCTCCAGAACCTCCAGCGCCAGCACCCGCAGCAGCTCCAGAACCTCCAGCTCCGGCGCCACCAGCGCCAGCACCTCCAACAGCTCCAGAACCTCCAGTGCCAGCACCCGCAGCAGCTCCAGAACCTCCAGCTCCAGTGCCACCAGCGCCAGCACCTCCAACAGCTCCAGAACCTCCAGCGCCAGCACCCGCAGCAGCTCCAGAACCTCCAGCTCCAGCGCCACCAGCGACAGCACCTCCAACAGCTCCAGAACCTCCAGCGCCAGCACCCGCAGCAGCTCCAGAACCTCCAGCTCCATCGCCACCAGTGCCAACACCTCCAACTGCTCCAGAACCTCCAGCGCCAGCACCCGCAGCAGCTCCAGAACCTCCAGCTCCAGCGCCACCAGCAGTAGCACCCCCAGAGCCGGCACCTCCAGCTCCAGGGCCCCCAACCTCAGAGTCGACAGCAGCACCTCCAGGTCCAGCAGGACCTCCAGTCCCAGCAGCTCCAGTACCTCCAGTACGGGCACCTCCGGGACCAGCTGCTCCAGGAACTCCAGTAGAAACAACTCCAGTAGCAGAGTCACCAGCTCCAGCGCCTCCAGCAGCAGGGCCCCTAGCTCCAGCAGCGCGACCCTGACGGCTAACGTACCACTCACGCAGCTGCTGTGGGGAGAGAGGGACAACGCCGACTCCAGTGCCTCCAACACCAGCACCTCCCGCAGCAGGGCCCCCAGCTCCAGCAGCTCGACCCTGACGGCTAACGTACCACTCACGCAGCTGCTGTGGGGAGAGAGGGAGACGACGACGAGAGTGCAGCGGCGAGGCACTAGCGGAGCGACTACAGAGACGGCCGCTCCAGGGAGACTGCTCACCAGACGCCTCAGCGCCCCCAGGCTCAGCACCCCCAGACTCAGTACCCCAGGCTCAGCACCCCCAGACTCCGCACCCCCAGGCTCAGCACCCCCAGGCTCCGCACCCCCAGGCTCCGCACCCCCAGGCTCAGCACCCCCAGAAGCAGCACCCCGAGCAGGACCACTCTCAGCAGGACCTGAGTCACCAGTGACCTCAACCGGCGCAGTCAAGGGAGGAGGGTCTACCTGAGACACACCTGAAGGAGCAGGACCGGGAGTGGGGAGGGGGTCTACTTGGGGAGCACCTGGAGCGAGGAAGAGCGGCGGGGGGGGAGAGGGGCAGTGCGGTAGGGGAAGAGACGGTAAAAAAGAACCGACTCGTCGAACGTGACGTCCTGAGAGGGGAAGACACGTCGCGAGGTGGGGTGGTAGAACTGCCAACCAGGCGCGTCAGGGACAAAGCCAAGGAAGACACAGAGAAGAGCGCGGGCGGAGAACTTGTCCGCGGTGGTATCGCGGACAAAGGCACGAGAACCCCAGACCCGGAACACCGACGCATCGCCAACCTCCCCCGTCCACCGCAGTGTGGGCGAGGTCTCCGGCAAGGAGACACGGGGCCAGAGGTTGAGCTGATGCGCGGCGTAGCGGACTGCAAACGGCCACAGAAAATGGGGGGCAGCCGCATGGACCATGGAGGTACGAGCGACCTCCATGACTAAGCCAATGCGGCGCTCAGCAACCCCATTCTGCTGCGGAGAGGCCGGAAGCGTGAACGTCTGGCGAATGCCTTCCCCACGACGAAAGCTCTGCAGAAGATCGGAGGAAAACTCCCCACCTCTGTCAGAGTGCAGACGCAGGACGGGAAACTCCGTCCCGAACCGCTCGCGAAGCTGGAGACGGGCAGCGCGGATCCAAGGGATCAAAATATCAAGGACCTCACCCTTGGTGCGCAAGGGGAAGACCGTGGTGTAACGCGAGTAGTCGTCAACAACCAGCAGGAAGTACCGCTCGCGGTCCTGCCCACTGACGCGGGCTGGGCCCCACACGTCCATGTGCAGGGACTGCAGGGGAGCAGTCGTCGGGGGAAACGAGGAGGAGTGAGAAGCGGCACGCTGCCGCCCCTCGACACAGGGAAGACAGGGAGGAGCAGGCGAGGGTGGGAGGGGAGGGAGAACCCTGGGAAGACCAGAGACAAGAACACGGCGGTGCATGCTACGAAGGCGCTGCACCGAGGGGTGACCAAGGCGGTGGTGCTAAAGGAGGGTCTGGTGCGACAAAGCGCGACACGAGCAGGGGGCCGCTAGCTGACCTGACGCAGACGCAGACGTAGCGACCTGAGGGGACACAGTAGTCAGTGTGTACATTCTCGAGCCAGGCGCACGGGTAAACGTGGCCAGGTGCCGGCCCGTCCGGGAGCACGTACAGTGGGTCACGCGCTGACCTCCAGGAGTGAGCTGGTTAACCCACTGGTCCTGGAGGTCAGCACCACTCACCAAGTTCGTAGAGAACGAGGGGAGGTGAAGACCTAACAAGGAGCCAGACGGGACCGCCGGACACGGCAGGACCGTGGAGGAGTGCGCAAGGACCGGATCCCCAGAGGGGTCGGCCAGGGAGACTGCAACCGGCCGACTAAGCGGCGTGAGGGTGGTGCTGTCGCGAAAGAAGGAGCGAGAAGCACCAAAGTCAAGTGTGAAGGTGTACAAGGCCTCAGCAGGCGCAGTACCAGAGAGAGCAGACTCACCAGCACTTGGAGCAGAAGCCTCATCAGCACCTAGAGCAGGAGACGCACTAGCACCTAGAGCAGCAGCCTCACCAGCACCTAGAGCAGGAGACGCTCTAGCACCTAGAGCAGCAGCCTCACCAGCACCTAGAGCAGCAGGCTCTAAACCTGGGTCAGGCGGCACGCACAGGTAACAGGCACCGTCAGCACTAGTAGGCAATGCATACATGGCAGTGAGAATAGCATCATAGTCAAGAGCAAAGATATCTACCCTCTGCCTAAGCAGCTCCAGCCAGGTGGGGAGCTCAGCCTCGTCGCCAAACTCGGTACGCCAGGCGTCGCTCAGACAGGGGAAGCAGCGGGACTGTGTATGACCAAGCGTCCCGCAAGCCAGACCAGCCCGTTCACCTGTGCGAATGACGTACGGGCAGCGAACGGTACTCCAAGACCCTCTACTCTGAGCGTACCACTCATGAAGCTGCTGGGGCGGAAGTGTCTCGCGCGGACGCGGCTGCAGCTGCAGTTGGCCACTGCCAGACGCTCCCGACTGACCAGCTCCAGGGCGACAGCCACGACGGCTACCGCCACAACCCCAACTAGCGTACCACTCACGAAGCTGCTGGGGCGTGAGAGACTCGCGCGGACGTCGCTGGAGCTGCATCCGGCCACCGCGAGTAGCAGCAGTAGGAGTAGTAGCAGCAGTAGCAGCAGCAGCAGCAGCCTAGTAGCAGTAACAGAAGTAGCATCAGTAGCAGCGCGGGCAGGGCAAGCGCGGCAGGCAGGCAGGCAGGTGGCGCAGTAGCGCGCGAACAAGGCAGGCGCGTGGGAAGCGCGGGTAGGGCAGGTGCTCACCAGTGGCGGGAAGGACAGGCGCTCGTAGGGCGAGCAGGGCCGGCGCTCGGCGAGCGGCGACAGGGTAGGCACACGACGGCGGCGGCGGCGGGGCCGCAACAGCGGCTGCAGAGTAGGGCCGCGTCAGCTGCTGCAGAGCAGGGCCGCGTCGGCGGTAGGGCAGGTCCGCGTCAGCTGCTACAGGGCGGGGCCGTGACAGCTGCAGGGGGGGGGCGCGAGGACTGCTGCAGGGCGGGGCCGCGCGGAGTGCTGTAGGCGGGGCCGCGACAGCAGCAGGAGGCTCCGCGGCAGCTTCTGCAGGGCGGGGCCGCGACCGTGGCAGGGCGCTCCGCGGCAGCTGCTGCAAGAGCGACGGCGGCAGTCAGGCAGGGGCGGCGTCCAGGGGGGGGGCGTCGCTACGAACAGGGGCAGCCGCGGCGCGCGGGGCTGCAACGGGCTACGCGAGCTGCGGACGCGGCGCGCGAAGCCGCAGCGGGCTGCGCGAGGACGGCAGCCGCGGCACGCAGGGCTGCAGCGCGACGCGTGGGCAGCGGACGCGACGCGCGGGGCTGCAGCGCGACGCGCGGGCAGCGGACGCGACGCGCGGGGCTGCAGCAAGCAGCGCGAGGCTGCGGACGCGGCGCGCGGAGCAACAGCGAGCCGCACGCGGGCTGCCGAGGCGCGACTCGGGCAGCTTGGGCGACGCGCGGGGCAAAAAACCGGGCTGCACGCAGGAATCAGGTCTGCGCGCAGGAATCAGGTTTGCGCGCTCTAAGCAGCAGCAGACCGCGCAGTCAGCAGACAGCAAGCAGCAGGCAGATGGCGCGCGCAGCGCAGCACGTCACAGGTACAGTCACAGTCACAGTCGTGGGGTAGCGGTAGGTGGGCCCGAAAAAAAAAGACGGTCCTACGGACCTACTGCTCTGAAACCATGTTAGAATCTAGAGACAAGAATGAATGTACTATGGAAGAGTTGGGTACAAGTATGAAACCTTAAACAAGGCTGTACCCCATATTGGCTACCCCACTACAGCCTACACATATATAACATGCATATACTTTGACAGTGCTCCCCCATGCGCCCTACACCCATGCAATCAAACACCAATGCATTTGTTCGTGCACCCATGTGTCTGTGCGAACAGGAGCTCAAAGGAAGGCAGGGCAACCAGAGATAGGCCTAGGAGAAGGAGGAGCATCAGCAGCACCACCATTAGCAGCAGCAACAACATCACCTCACCACCAGCAGCAGCAGCAGCAGCATTGGCAGCAGGAGCAGGGTTGGCAGCAGTAAATTCACTGCAGCTGATCCCTGTCAAGTCAACCCCTGAAAGGGCAAGCTTGTGTGAGGAGAGGAGTTTGCTAAGTTGACATACGGTATTGTATGGTCTGTGGTTCACTTGAATGTAGGACGACCAGCCAGATGACCTTGTGGTTCTGCCACTATGGGGGGTAGGCTTGTCATCATTATCATTCTTGCCATTGGATGTGCAATGTGGATTCAGACAATCAGAGGATCAAGAGAACATGTTTTATTAGTAGCAGTTGGTTGGAATCATTGTCTAGTGCGACATAGAATAATTGTGACATGACATGACATACCGAAACAGAAATACCAGTCTTTGGGTTGTGCAAGTTTCATATATTTTGTTGCTGACTAGTGTATTCCATAGTATGCAGTGCATGCATACATTGAAGGCCTTGTTCTGAGGCATCTTACAACTGTACCTATACCTAGAAGAATGCAATAAACGTCACAGCAGTTTGTGTTTGCATCTATGATGTGGTATTAATCCATCAACAAACCAAGATCCGTTTACGCAAAGTAGCGATAAGAATACCGTATAAACAATGTACACTGAGGATGGGTGTTGTGTCGCTACCACCACGACCCATCGGGCTTACGTGGCAGCCACCCATTGGCTGAGCTCTTGACAAAGCTCCAGTGATCCCAGCCTGGAGTGGAGTCACAACAGTGAAGGTACCACAGATTGCATTTGACAGAGCAGAGTGGATAGGTTAGGTGGGAGGGGGAATTGGTGTGGGGGAAGAGAGGGGAGGGGGGAATGGTGTGGGGAAAGAGGGAAGGGGGGAATGGTGAGGGAGGAGAAGAGACGTTTGGGAGGAATGGTAGGAGGAAGAGACAAAGACCGAGGAAAGTGTGACTTGGACAGGTGAGGGGGAGGATGGGGAAGAGGATGAATGGAAGGAGGAGGCGAGTAGGCTAGGGAAGGTTGAGAGAAGGAGAGGGAGCAAGGGAAGCAGGGCAAAGGGGCACGCAGCGAGGAAAGAAAGTGTCTCAATTGCTTGTGGGAGTAAATGACACATGCCACATGCTCCATGCCACATGCCCCATGCCCTATGCCCCATGCCCCATGCCCCATGCCCCATGCCCCATGACACATGCCACAACATGCGTATCCCTGTGTGTTACAGGTACGAAAACCCCTGCTACTGCACGGGTCTTGCTGAAACGGGCACGCACACACGCACACGCACACGCACACATGCGCACACGCGCACACGCACGCTCAGGCGCAGGCGCACACGCGCGCGCACACACGCGCACACGTACTTGTGTAACCAGTGTAACCACTCTGCTTTCGCAAAAAAAAAAAAAAAGGAACCTCACCCGAGATGTTGTGCTTGTAGGACCAGAAGAACCAGCCGGCCTTGGCTGTGGAGAAGGCTTTGAGCTGATTGAGACCGAACTGCGCTGTGACTGAGGGGTCTGGGTTTCGCATTGATAGACACCACTCGCCCACTAGTACTGGCATGCCCCACTGTGGAGAGAGCAGGAGAGAGGGAGGGGGGTGAGGGATGGTGGAGTGGAGTGGAGGGGAGGGGAGACAGACGGAAGTCGTACTTTTGAGACGTCTCAAAAGGTTGCGCATTGACAGGCACCATTCCCCCACCAGCACTGGCATGCCCCACTGTGGAGAGAGCAGGAGAGGGGGAGGGGGAATAGAAATGTGGGGAGAGGGAGAGAAAGTGGGAGAGAGGGTGGAGGGAGTGGGGTGGGGAGAGATGGGGTGGTGGAGGAGGGAAAAAACGTGGGAGGGGAAGAGGGGGGAACAACAAGAACAACAAGATGGAAGAGGAAGGATCAACAGGCCAAAGGAGCAGACATGAAACACTGCCCTCTATTTAGACAGGGTCCCCTCCCCACACCCTTTCTCCCACCACCCCACGTGTCCTCTCCCTCCTCCCCTTCCTCTCCCCTCTCTCCCCGCTCTCACTTTTCTCTCCTCAGTCCATCTTCCTCCTCCCTCCCCCTTCACCCCCACCCACCCCACTCCTTCCCTCCCCATTCCCTCCCCATTCCCTCCCCATTCCCTCCTCATTCCCTCTCCATTCCCTCCCCATCCCTGCAATCCCCATTCCCTCCCCATTCCCTCTCCCCATTCCCTCTCCCCATTCCCTCCTCATTCCCTCTCCTCATTCCCTCTCCCCATTCCCTCTCCCCATTCCCTCTCCCCATTCCCTCTCCCCATTCCCTCTCCCCATTCCCTCCCCCCATTCCCTCTCCCCATTCCCTCCCTCTCCCTCCCCAATCTCACCGATTGCAGCCCCTTGATTTCTTCCAGCCGTCCTCTCAGCGTCTCCTCCACCTCCTGCTGCGGAGTCAGCCCCTCCCATCCATAGAACACATTGTACATATGCTGCTCCAGCACTATATTAGTGTGCCACGTGCCATACAGCAACCAGTGCACCTCCCATATAGAGCTCCCCACGCGCCCCTCTATAGCGATGTACGCGCACGGAGAATACTTCCGAACGATGTCATACGCGCTCTTATAGTACCATGACAGAAGATCGATAGATATTCCCGACATCAACCCGTAGTTCCACGGCGCGAGAGGCTCGTTCATCAATCCGAGCCCGAGGAAAGCCGGATCGACGGCGTAACGCTTAACTAAAAACTCGATCATGTCTAAAGTCCGCAAGGTGTTGTTCCGCACGGAAAACTCGCAGAGACCCGACCTCCCGCCGAGAAACCCCGAATTCGTGCCGAAGACTGCATGAGGGGAGAACCACACGCGAATCTTGTACTTATTCGCCATTCGGAACGCCCAGTCCAAGGAAGCGAGGGCGCCGGAGGGAAAGGGGAACTCGGAGGATGAGATGGAAGGGCTTTCCATGATCCAGTATCCCACGGGGATGCGAACGGTGTTGATGTTGTTGGCAGCCATGGTTTGGAAGTCGGACTCGGAGAGGTAGGCAGAGCGGAAGGAGGACATGGGCGCTGCTGCTGCCTGTGGCCCGCCCAGGGACTTGGCGTATTGCCACTCTCCGTTCACCTGGTTCGTCTGGTGAGGTAAAGGGAAAAGGGGAAGGAGAGGGGAGGGGGAGGGGGGAGGGAGGTGGGAAAGAGAGGTAAGGATGGGGAGAGGATGAAGGTGAAGAGGTGAGGGGGTTGGTGGGAGGACATGAGAGTAACAGGACACAACAAAGTTGGTAAATCTGTGTAGGAATTGGCAATACCCTCACAGGCACCTTCTCACACACCCACACAGATCCTCACATTCATCCTTCTCTCCCCCCCCCTCCCACACGCACACAGACTCACCAGCTCGACTTTAAACACGGCTGCTGACTCCCAGCGAGAGGCCGAGGGCAGCAGTTCGGGGTTCAATGCAGCGATTAGGAGGCCGGAGGAGGACGGCAGGAGGTATTTGCCGTTGGGTGCGAGGATGAGCGCGAGAGAGTAGCTGCTGGTGGGGTTGAATACGAAGGTGAAGTTGCTCTGGCCCTGGTGGGGTGTGTGCACAGTTCAAAGAGAGGCATGCATGCGAGGGAGGGGTGAGGGTTTGAGCTGAGTTGAACATGTTGAGTTGAAATAAACAAGGATGAGCGCTAGAGAGTAGCTGCTGGTGGGGTTGATTGAATATGAATGTGAAGTTGCTCTGGCCCTGGTGGGGTGGATGTGTGGAGTGCAGTGGAGAGGGTGCATGCAGGGGAAACGGGGAGATTGTGATTGGAGTTAGAGTCCATGAGGATGAGCGCGAGGGAGTAGCTGCTGGTGGGGTTGAATACGAACGTGAGTTGCTCTAGCCCTGGTGGGGTGAGGTGCAGCGTGTGTGTGGGATGGTGGATGGGTGGGTATATCAAGGTGGAAAAGAAGAGCAAAGGAGGAGAGGAGTGTGCAGTACAGACCATTTTGGGCAAGCTGCTCACTCACTCACTCACTCACTCACTCACTCACTCACTCACTCGCTCGCTCACTCACTCGCTCACTCATCGCAACGAGCAAGCAGCCTACATTGGGATGTGGCTCCATGGCTGTTCCGTTGCCTGCTAGGGGGTCCGTGCGGTTCGTGTCGCTGGCCAAAAACACATGTACCTACTGCTGAGTTGATGGACGTAAGACCTACATGGGGTTGAGGCTCCATGGATGTGGCCACCAGTGTTCCATTGTCTTCTAGGGACCAGTACTGGAGACCTTCCACTAGCACCTGCTCACAAGCACGCATGGATCATGTTCACAAATGTTGACGCATGCATACATATTCACGCATGCAAGCATGTTCGTTGACACACGCACACGTAAACACGTGCACATGCAAGTGCACGGATGCGTAACACACATGTGCACACATCCATATCGAAAGATAGAGGCAGGCGGTAAAAAAAAAAAAAAACCGGTGCACCAAACTCCCGAGCAAGACTAGCAGCGCACATGGCATACTATACTAGCCAGTTTTCTTGAATCGTCTGGATAAACTCGCAGCTGACATGACAAGAATAAACGCAGTGCGCATACAACATGACATCACATATACACTTAGATTGGCAGCATAGCATCACCAAACCATATTCCAGCAGCACTCCTAGAATACTCTGCATCCGCATCCGTAGCAGTCAGAGACAGGGTGACTTTTGAGTCGACTCATAAGTCACCTCGCATCCGTAGGAGTCAGAGGCAATGGTACTCTAGATTTGACACACAAGGGGTCAAATCAAATCCATAGTACCATTGTATTTGAGGGGCCACACACACAGAAGGGGTCGCTGGCTTTCTAAGGCGCCACACAGAGAAGCTGCTGTGCTTACCCGCACGGTGCCATCGTCGTTGAGAAGGGCTCGGAAGTTGTTGTACGTGTTGGTGCGACTGGCCTCTGTGCTCGTGATCTGGGGGGCGAGGGGCGAGGGGCGAGGGGCGATGGGCGAGGGGCGAGGGGCGAGGGGCGAGGGGCGAGGGGCGAGGGGCGAGGGGCGAGGGGCGAGGGGCGAGGGGCGATGGGCGAGGGGCGAGGGGCGAAGGGTGAGGGGCGAAGGGTGAGTGGGATGGGGAAGGGGGCGAAAGGGGAGGGGATGCGGAGCGAGGGGGGAGGGGAGAAGCGGTGAGGGTAAATGGGTCAAGGGGCGAGCGGGTATGGGTTAACGAAGTAGCAGGACACAGGGCGAGTAGTGCATGGGTGCAGGAACGAGGGGGGTGCGGTGGGAGCACAAGAAGGTGTGTGTCTTCAAGGAAGGTGAGAAAGAGGTAGGAAATGTTCAAGACAGCAAAAACAAAGACAAAACAAACAGAAGAGGAATTCTTGCATAGAAAGGAGAGGCGGAGCAGGGGGGGGACGGGGAGGGGGAGGGGGTGGTGGTGGTGGTGGTGGTGGTGGTGGTGGTGGTGGTGGTGGTGGTGGTGGTGGGGGTGGTGGGGGTGGGGTTGGTGGTGGTGGTGGTGGTGGGGGTGGTGGGGGTGGGGTTGGTGGTGGTGGTGGTGGTGGGGGTGGTGGTGGTGGTGGGGGTGGTCGTGGGGTGGGTGGTGGTGGTGGTGGTGGTGGTGGTGGTGGTGGTGGTGGTGGTGGTGGTGGTGGTGGTGGTGGTGGTGGTGGTGGTGGTGGTGGTGGTGGTGGTGGAGGGAGGGGTTGTACCAGGGAGCCGCCGCCGTCAGTGGCAGTGACCCACGTGGTGAGCTTGAGGGGCTGCAGGCGAAACTGCGGGCGTGGCACGTTACATGAGGGAAAGGGCGTGTTGTTTGTGAATGCTTGGGATGTATGCAGGCAGGCAGAGAGAGAGCAACGGAGAGGAGCGGACGTGAACGAAGAGAGGAAGAGAAACACTGATATGGAATGGAGGAAGGAAGGAAGGAAGGAAGGAAGGAAGGAAGGAAGGTAGGTAGGAACGGTGTGAGACGAGACGACAAAGCTCTCCTCCTCTCCCAGTGTGTATTGACTTGTGAAAATTTCTCACAAGACACCCACCCACGGTTCGATCGAATTTTGAGTACACCCGACCCACGCCCAACCCACTACAACCGCACACCCCCAAACCCCAACAGCACATCCCCACACGCCCACGCCACTCACCGCAGTGCCGTCCTTCCAGGGCTTGGGATTCGGGTACCATCCAGGCACCATCCAGTTCTCAATGACCAGCCACGAACCAAGGTTCACCCCGCGAATTGCCGGCACCACCGTCACCTCCCTCACTTCAAACTCCTCCCACGAGCTCGCCACGCTCGTCCACCGGTACAGAGCGTTGCCCTCGTTGCTTATCACCATGCCGTCTGCGGCCGATCGGAACGCCACGCGGAAGGTGCCGGTGCCGCGCGGCTCGATAGAGAAAATGGTGGCGGGGTCTGAGCGGGAGGGCGTGGTGTCCATGACTCCGTAGGTGGTGGACCAGGGGGCTTGGGGGGGGCCTGCGCGGACGAACTCCCCTGAGAGGGTGACCAGGCGGAGCTGGGTGGGAGGGCAGAGGGGGTAAGGGGATTGGAGGCAAGGAGGAAGGGCAAGAGGATGGGAGGGATTGAAGAAGGTGGGTTGTGTTTGCCGGCTTTACATTCGGGAACGCGACTCTGAAGGTGCCGCGCGGCTCAATAGAGAAGATGGTGGCGGGGTCGGCGTGGGAAGGAGTGGTGTCCATGACGCCATAGGTGGTGGACCAGGGGGCTTGGGGGGGCCTGCGCGGACGAACTCCCCTGAGAGAGTCACCAGGCGCAGCTGGGAGGGAGGGGTGGGTGGGTGGGGGGGGGGGGGGGGGGGGGAAGAAGTGGGAGAGAATGGGCGGGAAGGGGGTGGATGCGCGGAGGAATGCCCAGGAGAGTGTGATGAGGCAGGTGCGATACATACAATCATACAATACCACCTAGTCCTGGTTTTCTGCCTTTTTTTTTCCAGCTCTACAAAGCAACCCGCCCACTACACTTTGCTGAGACTCTTACGGAGACCCACGGCTTGCTGCGGTTCGAAACCGTTTTCTACAATACAACTTAAACGCAGCAAGCCAGGACCCACGGCTCTTGATGCTCACCTGGTTGGGCGCGAGGCCAGGAGCGCGCTCAACGCGGAAGAAATCAGAGGCGGAGGGGCGGCTCTTGTTGCCCGCGCTTGGGAAATCAAAGAAGAGATACGATACAGATTACAAGCGTAGCTCTTGTTGCTCACCTGGTTGGGCGCGAGGCCAGGAGCGCGCTCCACGCGGAAGAAGTAGGAGGCCGGGGGACGGGTCTTGTTGCCCGCGAGAATGAACCCGGACCAGCTGCCGTTGCTGTCCGGCCCCCACCACGTGCCCCACGTGGGCGAGCGGATCTGGACCTGTGGGGCGCGCAAATGGGAACGAGAAAAGGGAGGCGGAAAGGTAAACATTGAGACACCTGAAGATACCTTTTGAGAATTCTCAAAACTGTCCCTTGTTGAATCGCCTACCCCTCACCCCCTAACCTCCTTCCCCTGCCCTCTTTCCACACGCTCGCTCACTCTCCCCGCCCCCTCTTCCCCTTCCCCTCCCCTTTCCCCCCTCCTCCCCCACCCTCCCTCCTCCTCCCTTTCCGCCTACCCGTGCGCCATGGGGCATGGCAGTGGACAGCCATTCGTTCTTCATCACCGCCTCCCCCTCCGCCGGTTGCGCCGCGCTGCTGCAGCACACCGTCGCGCACGGCGTGTCCAGCGCGGACTGGGAAACGGGGGGCGGCGGAGACGGTGGAGGCGGCGAAGGCGGACGCGGCGGCTTCGGCGGAGGCGGAGAGGGAGGGCGCGGGGGCGGCCGGGGGGGCGGCCTCGGGGGCGGCCTTGGCGGCGGGCGCGGAGGCGGCCTTGGCGGCGGGCGCGGGGGAGGGCGCGGAGGCGGGCGCGGGGGAGGTCTGGGCGGAGGGCGGGGAGGGGGTGAGCGGGGGAGCTTGGGCCTCGTTTTGGTTGCGAGCGTCCGCGACGTTACGCGTCGAAGGAACCGCGCGACGGATGCGAAGGGCGCTGCGAGTACTGTGAATGCAGTCGAGGTGGTAGCTGAACTGTCTTCCGTCCCGCCCGCCGCGGGCGCCAGCTGCTGCTGCTGCAGTTGCTGCTTTTGAGGCGCCTCAAAAATAGACTGCTGCTGCGGCTGCGGCTGCGGCTGTTGCTGTCGACCCTCCTTTGGCCATTCGTTACCCTGCTGCTGCTGCTGCTCGCGCTCGCGATCGTGTGCTTCGTCGCATTCCGGGTGCGGCTCGGAACCGTGACGGCATTGGTCGGACGGGACTGTGCTGCCGGCGGTGACCCGCAGACCCGCCGGAAGGAGCGCGTCGACGACTAACCGGCGGCTGCTGTGGAGCGACGCGGCAGGATTGACGCTCGTGTAAACTCCGTGAGACGCGGCGGAATTGACGCCGTTTTCTACACTCTCCTCGGGAGAAATCGCAGTGGACTGCACGGGAGAAGCGTGCAGCAGTAGCGCCGCGGAAAGCGGAAGGAGGAGGAGTGGGAGGACATGGAAGTAGTAATGATGATGGCGGCAGCGGTGGTGGCTGTGGTCGAATTCTCTACCGCGAGAATCCCGCCGTGATTCGCGGCATTGGCGTCGGTACTCTCGTGGCTTCATCGTGGCGGAGAGCTACTACGTCTGACGTACCTCGCAACGTCCGACTCACACTTAACTTACCATCCGCCCTATCAATACGCACTGCGTGGCACGAAGCCTAACTAGGCAGTAGTAGCCCCCAGGTTGCCAACATAAGCACAGCAGGGAAATATTCGTTCGTGGCAAAGCACAGTACCGTGCATTGTTAGGTTGTTGAATTGGGGAGGGCAGGCAACGCTCATCTCTTCCTCTTGTGTATGCCCAGCCCATTGCCCAGTCTCGCACTCGCCATGCATGATTGATTTCGTTGGGCTGGAGGTGGTGGTGGTGGCGGTCTGGCGGGCGAAGCGTTCATGCGGTGGTGGTGGTGGTGGTGGCGTGGCGTGGTGTGGTGGTGGTGGTCGTTGGGGTGAAGTGAATAGTGTATACGGGAAGAAGGAAGGAAGGAGGGAGGTGGAACTGTGGAGCTCACTGACGGCGCGGATGCAGCTGGAGGACCAGGTGAATACACCTGGCTGCCCGTCAGGTCGTGTTTCTGCGACTGCCTGGGTTCCACTGGGTGGGGGAACGATTTTGAGGGGGTCAGAAGTCCAGACTGACTAAATAGTTTTCCAGTTTCCGTAAGGGAGACTGTTAGTTGAAGAACAAGAATTTATGCGGTGCGCGGGCCACGCACGAGGATGAAAATTCAATCTCTTTCAGCTGGATTGACCGACACACAAGACACAAAGCGACAAGAGCAACGTGGAATTTGTTGTCGTTGCAAGCGAGATGGACGGTCGGACTCTACCTCGCTATGGGCGTTAGAATGTTGTCCTATAACATTGTCAGTACAGTAAGATCATTCCATTTTCGTTGCCGTTACAATTGCGTGAAGAACTAATAGTGGCACAATGAGCATCAGTAACACTACACGGATACGGTCCATAACATGAATACCGCTACCAACTCTAAACTCGATTTTTTGACAGCAGGCCAATATACACCAAGTGCATCATTTAACAGACGTAGGTGTTGCTTCACAGTCTCACCCACCCCCTCATTTCTTCACCTTCTGTGGCATACGTTGAATCACCAGCTTTCCGCTGTTCACCTTATCCCCAACAATCGTTTGGCACGACAATCGCCAGCTCTCGGGGCGTTTCTTCAAGAAACGATCCTCCGCCTCGGTCCGTCCGCTCAACAGCTCCGCACCCGCAACGACGTCCACAATGCAGGTCCCGCAATTTCCCGCACCACCACAATTCATGAGCGAACCATACATGTCGTACACCGGAACCTTCGCGTCGACCATCGCACGTCGCAGATTCTTCTCGCCGCTCCCGATGGTGACAATCTGGGCGTTAGCTGGAGGCTTCGCGGATGAATCCTCAGCATTGGGCGTTTCAGCTGCTGCAGCGGCCCATGCAGCCGCTTCGGTGGCTGACGTGGCAGTGTCACCATCCGGGGGAAGGAAGCACATGGAAATTGTAGGAGACGAGTTTGTGAGTGTCGCGGAGTCGCCTGTGGTCCCTGCCTCAGAAGAGCTTTCAGCACGGGCTACTGATGTGACGAGGCGACGGTGAGATGTGAAAGCTAGATTGGTGGACGATAGTCGGAAAGTCGGTGTGTTTCTGGTGAGGGAGAGGGAGGAGGGCTTGCTGGGATACACGCTGGAAAGGAGGCAGGTAGAGGATGTGGCAGCCATGTTGATCAGCTTCTGGGAGTGCCACGCCTCCTAAACTTGGCGTACAAGGTAGACTCTCGTGCTATTGAAGTAGTGAAGTTTTCAATCTCCAGACGAAGTTAGCGGAAGTGCATGTTTGGTTTGGAGTTTTGGGGCACGGTTGTCCCATGGAATTTGCTTGGCCACGGAGTGACAGACTCTGGAAAATGTGCAGCGTTAGTGGCTAGAAGATGCGCAGACGTGTTCGGTCAAAACGCAGCCTTCCAGGTCTACGTGGAGGCCGGTGAGAGTGTTTCTGACTGGTTCGATATAAGCGTATGCGTAACTTCGAACTGCTGGTGCATACGACCTACACCTTAAAGCCGTGGCCCAACTATCAACTTCAACTTCAAAGTATTATAGCTTGGAAGAGGTTGACCCAGGCAGTTCAGAGCCGAGAAGTTTGTCCTCTTCTGGTTTTCCAGTTTTTTCGTCCAATAGAATTCAAGTTACTCACATGCCATTTTTGTCCCCCTACTGTTCCTAAGAAGTTGCACCCCGCCTTTAAATAGACTAACGTGTGTAATCCGAGTGAGGTTAGCTAGTTAATGGTGTATGTGTGTGTGAACCAGAATCACTGAAGTTGGAACACAAAAATGAATCATTCTGTAACCGGTACACGCAGGCGAAAAGTGGCCGTCCCTCGCACTTACCTCCCACCTGCTATGTTCGCCGAATACGGGAGCGAATCTGGGGAATGGGGTACGGTACAGAAGTATCACGGGAATAGGGACGGGGAACTGGGGGATGGTTGGTTTGGTTGGGGGGACGGGGTGGTTGAAAAAATGTGGGAAGAAACTCAGATGACCCCAATCATCATTACGCGAAGGACAGGCGGGGCGGTTACAGGTTGAAGAGTAGGGTCAGGATCGAACGCCCTCGAGAACATTTCTACCAGCCTTGAGTTGGATCTGTGGGTTTTAGAAGCGATTAGCTTAGTTACATCACGGTATCAGATCGATATTTGGTCCTCGATCTCTTTTCTGTCCTCTGATAACACTCCCTGAACTGCGTCCGACCCAAACTGACTTATTCGAACACTGCCCCATACAACCCCCGATTTCGCTTCCTGCACCTAAACCTGGACCTCCTAGTGTGTTCCATTCCAGTAGAGTCTTCCATGGTCCTGTCTCTTATTTACAACAAACGTCCTGCATTGCCTCTAGGTCAAACACTATCACAGTTTCCGCCAGCACATTCGTGCCCGTTATGCGGGGATCGCCGGCATGACTCGGCAAATATCACCAACCGGTTTCTTCCGGTTCCAGTAGCCTCCTGTTAATAATCGCCTTTTACAACGCGAATATCTGTTTCAATCCGTTTCGCCTTGAACCGCGGTTTAACGCCAAACAAATAAATCCAAGCATTCTGGTTTGAGGTCAGTTGCCTTCATTTTCTCGTCGCGAGCGGCTGAGAGGAGTCTGCAACTCCAGCTATTTTCTTCTCCACTGTTATATGCTTTTTTATTTTTAAAAATTTGACTTCGACGTTGAACATTGCCGTCGCTGCACCTCCCGACGAGCACCGACTTCCTGTTCGTATCTTTTACTTTCCATTCGTCATTTCCGTCATTCCAAACTTCACTCTCCCATTTCCGTGGCTTCTAGTCACGATCGGACGTTTCCGTTCTTCAGAAGATAAGAAACCAACTTCAATCTCCACATAGCGCTCTTAGAAGTGTCACATTTTGTCATCCCCGCCCTCTCGTTGCTTCCTCCCACGTTTCTCCTCCCGCGTGTATCAGCCAGTCCGCTTTGTGCTTCGTGCGTTGGGCTTACCTGAAGAGCTCAGCACGATCCGAATGGGGGCGAACCAGTCTGTCAACGACGACTCGGATTCAGGATCAGATGAGGAAGAGGAGACGCGGAGAGGAGAGGGCGAGGAGGACGAGGAGGAAGAGGATCGAGTCAGCTCCGATGGCGAGTCACGCGAAGGCGTAGACGATGGCGAAAAGTCGCACGGCGAACATCACGGGAAGTTACCAGGAGGAGGGGAACGGGGAAGGGGTGTCGTTGGACAAGACGGAAGGTCTGGGGGGGTGGCTGTTGCACGCCGTGGGCCTAATTCCGAGTCCAGTCAATCAACGCAGCCCGAGATGCATCAATACTCCGACAATGCGAAAGGCCTAACAGCAACCGGTACGGGCGCGAGGCTGGGTGGCGCAGGGCTAACGCATGGCCTGAATGGAAGTGGCATCAGGGAAACCAGGAGCGCCAGAAGAAGCGCTGGTGACCCTTCCAGTATCAGTGCTTCTGCTGCTGCTGCTGCTGCTGGTGATGGTGACGGTGCTGGTGCCGGTGCGGTGTTGCTATTGGAGCAGGAACCGGAGGTGAGTCCGTTTCGGCAGTCACAGCTGCCAGTGGAACCACAGCATAATTCCCCTCAGTCCTCTCTCTCCGACCCCACACCCCATGACATGCTGCCTTCCGTCCGCCTCTTGCCTCCTGCTGCCGCTGCCGCTGCTGCTACCAGTGGCCATGCTACTGCCACTGCTGATGCTGCCACTGCTGTTGATGCGGCCTTGGAAGGGTTGTTGGTTCAGAGGAGAGTGGGTGCGGATGCTACCAGCAATGACAGCAGTACCGGCTCTGGCAGTCGCAGCCGTAGCAGCAGCGGCGGCAGCAGCACCAGCGCGGGAAGCAGCAGCACCAGCAGTAGCGATGGCTTTGGTGGGAAGCTGGGAGGGGAGAGCAGCGATGGGGCCGACAGTCGCAGCAGCGTCAGCCCTAGCCCCAGTGGTGGTGACGGTTTCGGGTTCGCCACCAGCCGTAGTATCACCAGCAGCTTGGGATCCCCTGAGGAGCTCTCTCTTAGTCACATGCTTAAGCCTAGCCCCGCAGTTGTTGATGCTCTAGCAGCGTTGGAGGGGGAAGGAGAGGAGAAGAGAGGGAGAAGAGGAGAGAAGGAGCAGTGGAGGCTGGCTGGTGAAGAGCTGGTGAATCCAGTGAGTAACGGAGTTATAGTGGCGGCTGTTGGGGTGACGGGCTCAGATGGCTCGTTGCCTGCAGGAGGGGATGATCCTGCTGCGGCGAATGATGCTGCTGCTGCTGCTGCTGCTGCTGCTGCTACCACTGCTGTTGCTGCTGCTGCTGGTAGCAGTGGTGGAAATCTGACGAATGGGGAGAAGGAGGAGGAGGGTGGTGGGCCGGCGGGAGCAGCAGCAGGAGGGGTGTCGCAGGCGTGGCTTGGGTTGATGGATGCACAGGTTGATGTGATGAGCGTGTCCCGCCCGCTCTCCTCGCACCCCTTCCTGCACACCACCTTCACCCCCAGTGACTACTCCACTGAGTTCTACATCATTCGGTGAGTGAGCTACCCTCTTACACACCCTCCCGCGCTCCCTCTCGCGCACCCTCCCACTTTGGAGTCGCCTCAATCCGTCCTGCACGCTACCTTCACCCCCAGTGACTACTCCACTGAGTTCTACATCATTCGGTGAGTGAGTCATTCTCCCACGCATCCTCCCTCGCACCCTCCCACGCACCCCCCCACGCACCCCCCCACGCACCCTCCCACGCACCCTCCCACGCACCCTCCTACGGGGAGGCAGCGCACAACGTGTCATCGCTCATTGGAGGCCGCTCCCACCACGCCCCGCTCACAGCGCTGGTTCTTGAGACGTCTCAAACCTTCCCCCCCACCTCTCCCCCCCACCCACTGCATGCGCCAGGCACGGGGAGGCAGCGCACAACGTGTCATCGCTCATTGGAGGCCACTCCCACAACGCCCCGCTCACAGCGCTGGTTTAGAGTCCTCTCAATGACCCCCCTTCCCCCCCACAACACAAACTGCATGCGCCAGGCACGGGGAGGCAGCGCACAACGTTTCATCGCTCATCGGGGGTCGTTCCCATGACGCCCCGCTCACAGCGCTGGGGCAGCAGCAGGCGAAGCTGCTGGGGGCCTACCTGCGGGACTATGCGGGGCTGCGCTTTGATGCCATCTTCTCCTCGCCCATTGAGCGCTCCAAGCAGACGGCTCTCATCGTCTGTGAGGTGTGTGTGTGACGTGTGCAAGGTGCATGGTGGTGACTTTTGAGTCGATTGGAAAGTCACTGCGCGAGTACGCTGGGCTTCGCTTCGACGCCATCTTCTCCTCGCCCATTGAACGCTCCAAGCAGACAGCTATCCTCGTGTGCCAGGTGCGTGCCGTGTGTGTGCCGTGTGCCGTGCCGTGCCGTGCCGTGTGCAAGGTGCATGATGGTTTTTGAGTCGACTGAAGGGAGTCACCTGCGCGAGTACGCTGGGCTGCGCTTCGACGCCATCGTCTCCTCGCCCATTGAACGCTCCAAGCAGACCGCTATTCTCGTGTGCCAGGTGCGTGCTGCATGTATGTAAGGTGCGTGGAGTAGCGTAGCGGCACCTTTGCCCATCCCTCGCAAGCCAAGCCAGTGCACGCGGCAGTCGCAGAGTGCCACTGTAGTGTGGTGAGCACTCTGCAAGACACAAACAACCCAGTTTTGAGACGTCTCAAAAGCAAGCCAGTGCACGGCAGGGTGCCACTGTAGTGCAGTGAGCACTCAAGACACGAACAACCCTAGCGAGGTGACTTTTGAGTCGACTCAAAAGTCAACTCATGAGTCGACTCAAAAGTCACCTTGCCACTGTAGTGCAGTGAGCACTCAAGACACGAACAACCCTAGCGCCTGCATGTTCTGTACCTTTCCTCCCTCTCCACAGGAATCACTTAAGCTGGAAAACTGCATACAGTGCTGACGCTGAGAGCTATAGGAGCTTCCGCAGGAGATGGTTTTTTAGGCGCCTCAGATATCATATAGCGCCTGCATTTTCTTTCTGTGCCTTTCCTCCCTCTCCACAAGAATCAGTTAAGCCAGAAAACCGCACTCAGTAGTGAGCTGACGTGGGCTTAGGAAATGCATCAGCAGCACCTCTGCTCACTCCCTTCCCTTCTCCTTTCGCCCTTTTCGTTTCTCCCTTCTCTCTTCCTCCTCCCCATACTTGTCCTTCCCCTCACCCCCCCCCCCCCCCCCTTCTTCAGGGAGCAGGGGAGACGAGAGAGCCGCATTCAGTACTCAGACGAGCTGCAGAAGCGAGGTGACTTTTGAGTCGACTCAAAAGTCACCTAGAGAGCCGCATTCAGTACTCAGACGAGCTGCAGAAGCGAGGTGACTTTTGAGTCGACTCAAAAGTCACCTAGAGAGCCGCATTCAGTACTCAGACGAGCTGCAGAAGCTGTCGCAGGGGTCTTGGGCCTAGGAAGGCCGTCAACCGCACCACTGCTCACTCCCTTCCTTTCTCTCTTCTCCTTCTCCCCCCTGCTTCCCCTCCGCCACTCCCCCCTCCCCCCCCCCTCTCCTCCCGCCTCCCTCCTTCAGGAAGGAGGGGAGGCGGAGAGCCGCATTCAGTATTTAAACGAGCTGCAGGAGCTGTCGCAGGGGTTGTGGACTCAGCAATAGACCAGCAACAGACGCACCTTTTCTCCTTTCCTTTCTCTCCCTTCTCCCGTCGTCCTGTCCTTCCTGCAGGAGATAGGGGAGGCGGAGAGCCGCATTCAGTACTCGGACGAGCTGCAGGAGCTGTCGCAGGGGTGATGGGCTCAGCAACGGACGAGCCACAGATGCACACCTTTACTCCCCCTCTTTCTCTCCTCCCCCCCCTCCGCTCTTCCAGGAGATAGGGGAGGCGGAGAGCCGCATTCAGTACTCGGACGAGCTGCAGGAGCTGTCGCAGGGGTCATGGGAGCGGCAGCCGCGGCGGAGCATCTACCAGCAGGGCGTGCTGGAGCAGATGACTGCCGCGCAGCCTGACTTCCGCGCCCCTGGGGGGGAGTCCCAGCGCCAGGTGGGAGGGGGAGGGGGGGGGGGTACGGAGTAGGGCTGCGGGAGGGGGAAAGGAGGAAGGGTAGGAAAGGGAGGGGTAAGGAAGGGGTAAGAAATGGGGAAAGGAAAAGCCAGGAAGGTGCTGTGCGTCTGTGTGTCTGGTTTTGAGACGTCTCAAAGCCGCGGCGGACCATCTACCAGCAGGGCGTGCTGGAGCAGATGACTGCCGCGCAGCCTGACTTCCGCGCCCCTGGAGGGGAGTCCCAGCGCCAGGTGTGTTTGTGTGAGAGGGAGTGGGGCGGGAGGGGAAATGGGGAGAGAGGGGGAAGGGAGGGGGAAGGAAGGGGAAAGGGATGGGGAGTGAAGCAGGGGAGGAAGGTGCTGAGTGTCTGTGTGTGTGTCTAGCTGTAAGACGTCTCGAAGCCGCGGCGGGCCATCTACCAGCAGGGCGTGCTGGAGCAGATGACTGGCAGGCTGAGGGAGGGGAAAGGAGGGGGCAGGGAGTGGGAAGGAAGTGGGACGGGATGGGGAGAGAAGCAGGGGGTCGGGTGCTGTGTGCCTGCCTGTGTGTCTGTGTCTGTTAGGAGGTGATTGTGAGTAGGTGGGTGGGCTTGGGAGTGGGAGAGCTTACCACCCAGCCTGTCCTCACACACACTCTCCTCTCCCCTTCCCTCCTCTCCTCGCTTCTCCCCTCCCCTCCCCTCCCCTCCCCTCCCCTCCCCTCCCCTCCCCTCCCCTCCCCTCCGCTTTCCCCTATCCGTCCACACCCCGCGTCTCTCCTCTCTCCTCCTCCTCTCCTCTCAGGTGGAGTTCCGCATGGTGGGGTTCATCAACAGTGTGCTCTTCGCCCGCCAGGCCAGCACCTCATCTCCTGAATCGACTCAACGGTCCTCCCTCCCCTCCCCGTCCCCCCTCTTCCCACCTCTCCCCACCAGTCACCTCCCAGGTGGAGTTCCGCATGGTGGAGTTCATCAACAGCGTTCCCAATAACCTGCTTTTGAGACGTCTGATTATTCATTAACTTGCCCCTCCCCCTCGTCCCGTCCCTTCCCCTCCCAGGTGGAGTTCCGCATGGTGGAGTTCATCAACAGTGTGCTCTTCGCCCGCCACCACCTCATCTCCCCAAGCCCCGCCGCCCTCGCTGCGGCTCACTGCCTCGGCCTCCACACCAGCCACTCCGCTCCCTCCCTGCACCACCTCGCCTCTCCTCCCCCCGCCGCTTCTTCCTCCTCATCCTCTTCTCCCGCTTCCGCCTCTTTTCCGTCTGCTTCCTCCACCTCCTCCTCAGCTTCTCACTCGTCAGCTTTGCCGTCCGCCTCTGCCCCGTTTTCTTCCACCTCCTTCTCCTCTTCCTCCTCTTCCTCCGGTGCCACGCCTGCTAAGGATCTCCCGCCACGTGCTCCCGTGGGAGCACGTGGAGCAGGAACAGCGGCAGCAGCAGCAGTAGCAGCAGTAGCAGGAGGAGTGGGAGCACCTGGTGGGGATGGAAGCAGCATTGGCGCTACCAGTGGTGAAGCTGGTACCACCAGCGCCAGCAGCGTGAGCAGCAGTGGCAGCGGCAGCACTGGAAGCCACGGAAAGGGGAGCAGTGTGTTTCGGGTTGCAGTGTTCTCCCATGGGACTGCGATCCGCTGCCTGCTCCGGGGTCTGCTAGGCTCCAATCCCCACCTGACTCAGAACATCGGCATTGACAACACTTCCATCACTCTGCTGAAACACACGTCGAAGAAAGGGTGGCATCTGGTGAAGACAAACGACACCGCCCACTTAATTATTGCCAAGGGTCCGCTTTCCGCCCAGCAATCCTGCTAGTGATGATGATGATGGTGATGAATCTATGGGGTTCAAGAATGACTTGCGTAATGCTGGTTGTGATGCTGATGATGCCGCTGCTGCTGGTGATGGTGCTGCTGCTGCTGGTGCTGCTGGTAGGCTCGATGCTGCTTCTGATTGGGCTGCTACTTGACAGGGTCACCTGTTGCTCTGGTGATGGTGTTGCTGCTAATGTTGCTGGTGGGGGTGATGCTGCTGATGATGTTGCCTCACCCTGTTGCTCTGCATTCTGGACTGCCGTTTCAAGTCGTGCCCCAACTGTGTCTTGTGTCTTTTCAACAATAAATACATGGAGTGGAAAAGGTATTTTCTCACGAGAAGCTACTCAACCAAAACATAAGCACAGAACAGAACACTGCATAAGTCTTATGTGAGTGTACCTTGCTGCAATTCAACACAACTAAACAATAGTCTTTTGTCTTTTCAACACTCGGATGATTCGATATATGTTGCGCAGGGTGTGTTTGTGTACCTACTGGCCGAGTACATTTTTAAGGAAGCCTCCAGAGGATTATTTAGCAAACCTATAAATGGTTACTAAATGGAAATTATTACACTAAGAGCGTATTCCTATCCTCGTATCAAGAGAACCTCATATCAAGATTGTACCTTTTGCCTGGTAAAACTAGCGAGAGGTTTTGGGTTTAGGGGAATTTTCAGTGGGAGGTTGATATGAGGTTCTCTTGATGAGGATAGGAATACGCTCTAAATCAGTTTCACCAGAGAAAAGAGACAACACACTACTAGAGGTACGGTAAACTTGTAGTGATGCCACTGCTGGAATTCATTCTTTTGGTTCCCTGCAAAACTGAGCATGGTGCTTGCTGTGTCACCCACTTTCCCAGAGCCTACAAAAAATGATTTTTTTTGAAAGTGTGAAACACTTTCTAAAAATGCGTATTGTGAAAGCGCAGCTTACTGTAGCGCAGCAAGGCAACGGCGAATTACTATTCGCCGAGTACATAACGAGGGTTGTGTTAGAATAAGCAGGAATGAATGATTGAACTAGGCAAGAGGTGAGTACAAGTAGAGGAAACTTAACCCTAAAGTGTTGTACTCACTAAGGAGTGACCCTACTGTAGCCTAGAGATACAATTGTAACCTGACACACCCCCATAGGCAAAGTAGGGGACAACAAATACAACAAGCGGTCACATGACCAGTCTGCAGAAGAGAACACAGCTCAGGGTGGATCACAAAGTCACCACGCATTCTGAGCACAAGCAAGTGGCCACAAGGCCAGTTCACATGCACAGGTATATAATAGCAAGGCAGTACACTGATCACAACCTAGCAAGAGAAAACATGCAGGTATAAAGATATATAGCAGTGTACAACAAGAGCAAGTCAAGCAACCAACAGGTGAGGCAGAGTGGGCACAAGCCCAAGAGCAGTGCAGAAACGGTGATGATCACCAGACCCAAGGGCCTTGGTGAAGACATCAGCAGTGTTGGCCCGAGAGGCCACGTAAGCAAGGCGCAGCTGACCACGCTGCTGCAGCTCACGTGCAAGGAAGTAGCGAAGAGCAATGTGCTTCGTTCTGTGCTCCAGTCTCTGCTCGTGACACAAGGCAAGCATTGCCTTGTTGTCGACGTACAGAACTGGAGGAGAACGAGGCCGCTCCCCCAAGTCGGTCAGCAAGTAGGTCAGCCAGCGTAGCTCCTGTGCAGCCATGGCCCCAGCGTAGATCTCGGCCTCACAGCTGGAGCCAAGCACAGAAGAAGAACGAGTGGACCTCCACGAGACAGAACCAGAGCCAAGACTGAAGGTGTAACCCTGTGACGAACGCTGAGTCGTCTGGTCGTCGGCCCAAGAAGCGTCAGAGTGTCCTGTGAGGACCACCGAACCCCGTCCTCCAAGCACGAGCCCCATGCCCGATGTGCTGCACAAGTAACGCAGTACCCTCTTCGCAGCATCAAAGTGCACCTTTCGGTGTCGACCAGGTGCCACGTAGCGAGCCAGGAGGCTGAGAGGGTACGCGAGGTCAGGTCGTGTGCACGTCATCAGGTACATGAGGCAACCCACAAGCTCTGGGTACGGACCACTCGGCTCTACGGACTCGTCCGAAGGTGGAGCTGAGAGCGAGTGGCCGGTAGACAGAGGAGTGGGCTGTGGCGAGGACCAAGTGAAGCGGAAGCGCTGAAGGATCTGGTGCACCATGTGTGACTGAGTGAGGGTGATGGTGTGCCGTGCTCTGTCCCGGGTGATCTGCAAGCCAAGATAGCTCCGCAGCTCACCCAGGTCAGTGCAAGTGTGTCTCTCCTGCAGCTCCGCCTTCACTAGGGCCAGCGCCTCAGTGTCAGCAGTAGCAAAAACCAAGTCGTCGACGTACACGAGGATGTAGAACGGCGGCAGAGTAGTGTCGGTGCGGAGAAACAGCGACGGGTCAGCAGTCGAAGGAGCAAACCCAAGAGCCGCAAATGTCGTCCTCAGTGTGTCGTGCCACTCACGGGGCGCCTGACGCAAGCCGTACACTGGTCGCCGTAGGCTCCACTGGGTACCCTCAGGAAACGACCCAGTGAAGCCCTGTGGACGGCGCAAACAGATGGCCTCGTGAAGGCTACCCTTCAAGAAAGCTGTCGAGAATTCGAGGGAGTGCAGCTCGTAGTCACGCTGAGCTGCAACGTGTAGCAACATCCGGAGAGTGGTCATCTTCGGGGTGGGGGAGAAGGTCTGAAAGAAGTCGACCCCCTCACGCTGACTGAAGCCTCGAGCAACGTAACGTGCCTTGAAGGCAGGCGGAGAACCCGGCGGCCGCTTCACCCTGAAAATCCACATGCCACTGACGATGTTCGCCCCAGGTGGGGGAACCTCGTCGACGTAGGTGCCTGTGGACTTCCAGGAAGCCATCTCTGCGTCCATGGCTGTCTGCCACTGAGAGGAGTACTCACCCGAAATCGCCTCCCTGTAGGAGCGCGGGGTGGGGATGTCAAGTGCATCCGGGTCTCCCTCAGGGGCAAGCAGCATGGTCGCGTGATGGGGTGAAGCGGCAGCAAGGCACTCCAGCTCCTCCTGCCTGTCCTCAAGAACGTCACAGCCAAGGGCAGTACAGCCAAGAGCAGTCTCACCCCCGACGGACGGAGGACAGGCAGGGACAGGGTCAGAGACAAGACTCGCAAGGTAGTCGAGGCGGTACACAGCAGCAAAGTCAACGACCTCAGCTACTAGGGCAGACGCAGCAGGAGACGAGAACGTAGGGTCCGTCACAACCGTAGCAAGAAGGCGAGTAACAGTCGGACTGGACGCACGAGCAAGGTCAGACGGAGGGTCAGCAACGTCAGGCAGAGAGGACGTAGGAGGTAACGGTAGTACAACACGCTGAGGAACAGAGGAAGGACGGAGTGTCATATCGTGAGTGCCGGGGACAGCCGGAGCACGCGGACAACGAACACGAGGAACACGAGCACGGACAACAGCTCTAGGCTCAGGCTCAAGGTCAAAGCTAGACTCAGGCTCTCGACGCTCAGGGGTGGAAGCACGAGTCTCAGGCTCTCGATGCTCAGTCAGGGACTGTGACACCGCAGTGTAAGGAGCAGGAGCAGGCAGTGGGGAGTGTGGTAGCAGCGGTGGCTGTGACTGGTCCACTGGCGGACACAGCAACGGAGGAGTAGTACCTGCCACAGGGAAGCCAGTAGCACCTGGCGGAAGACTGAGAAGGTGGCGAAGAGCACCAGTAGCTCCCGTACCTCCAGCACGAGCAGCTCCTCCAGTACCCCCAGCAACACCTCCAGCACCAGTAGCACCAGCACCTCCAGCACCACGAGCTCCGACAGCGCCAGCACCTCGAGCACCAGTAGTACCTCCAGCACCTCCAGTGCCTCCACCTCCAGCTCCAGCGCCTCCAGCACCAGTAGTACCTCCAGTACCTCCCGTGCTAGCAGCTCTAGTAGCACCTCCAGCACCTCCAGCACCAGTAGCACCACCTGCTCCGGCAGCTCCAGCACCTCCAGTACGAGCACCTCCGGGATCAGTAGCTCCAGCACCTCAAGTACCTCCAGCACCAGCACCTCCAGGGTCAGCACCTCCAGCACCTCCAGCACCAGCAGCAGCTTCAGAACCCCCAGCACCAGCAGCACCTCCAGCACCAGCAGTACCTCTAGTACCTCCAGTAGTACCTCCAGCACCTCCAGCACCAGCAGCACCTCCTGGACTAGTGG